TCTTATTGCAGTAGCGCATATTGTAAGAGGCCTATGCGAACTGTACAGACAGTATTTGTAAACATTTAACAACCAGTTGACAAGTTACATTATACTTACGGAGGTTGTGGTGGTAGCAGCGCACGAGTGGAGCATATTATAAATAGTATTTATTTTCACTGGCCTGTTGGACTAGTGGTTAGTGACCCTGACTGCTAAGCCAGAAGTAATGGGTTCAAATTCCATTAAGGACAAGCAATTGTGTGATAATCACGATCTTTTGTTCCGTGTCTGGATGTAATTTATCTATAATATGTATGTATTTCAGAATATATATATAAGTATGTTTTCGGAAGCGTGATTACCATAGTACAGGCTCTGCCAAAAGGACATTGTAATAAATCTATTATAATTTGATTTTGACCAACAGACATGTGATGGTAATTTGCTGCGCATGACTTCTAAACCACTTACCTATCATAATTTATCAAATGACGTGTCTTTAGAAGCATCTTTAGAAGGTCGCCGGATCACGGAACAATCTCATACCGGTTGACGCAGGTGATCACCGGGAAAGGATGCTTCGGAGATCACTTGTGTCTAATCCGCAAGGAGCCAACGCCTGAGTGCCACCATTGCGATGGACGAATCGTGGACACGGCGCTCCACACTCTGGCAGAATGCCCGACGTGGGTTGAACAGAGGCGTCACCTCGTGGCGGCCATCGGATTGGGAATTCTCTCGCTCGATAACATGATTGCCGCTATGGTACTCCGCCGTCTCCTTCTGCGACCAGCGGGACCGGGAGAGGTTTAGAACTCTCCCGTCTCGCCAGACCGCAGATGACTAAGGCCACGGAGATCGCAGAACGATCTTCGTGCTCCATAAGCGAAGGCCTGGGGGTGGTAGGTTAGGCCATCGGTCACCCTAGCAGAAGCAGGCCGGGGTGGTAACGAGACGCGCTGAGAACACGCGCCTTTTCCGGAGCACAAAGGGGACATAGGGGTTCCCACACAGTAGGGTGGCATCTACAGGGCGTAGATGGCCCGAGGTTTGTCGGGGTACAAGGTCTTTTCTTTCTAGGGTTCCCCGGCAACTGATATCCGAGACGACGTGCGGTTTTTGGTCGGTTCGAGTCCGAACTAACCAACCGACCGATGGGTGGTATCCGAGGGGATTTCCGCACAGGAAAAAAAAAAGGGGAGAAGCTCTATCTACTGTCTGCCTATTCAGCTACCGGCTACCGATGCGTAATATTATTATAACCACAATATATTGTATAAAATGGTAAAAGTATCATAAAACATAAATAATGCATTTTGATCTGCTTTCTTTGACATTTCATAGCGCAATAAAACTCAATGCAGTAGCTCTCACTAGTCTTCAATTTACTACCAACTTTATATTTATAGTTGAATCTTACGCAAAAATTTTAAATTAGAGGAAAAGGACAGGTTAGTTGTTGCTTGTAACGACCCTATTTGTACATGTACTAAATAGTACATTTATTTTACACATTTACTTACATACATAGCTTGTTCAGTTCTAATAATATACACTGGCTGTTTCACGAAGCTCCGATCCTAAAGGGTCATAATGCAATGTTACGGCTTTGAATGTTTTTCAAATGCGACATTTAACACATTTAACTCTTGCACAGAGATTACGCTCGCCCTAAGTAGGTGGGTATATTACTGGTTAATTATAACGAAAATGTGAGAGATTTAAACCCATAATAAAGAAGACATGATGTATTTCTACTTCACAAATGCACTAATCAAAATAAAAACAAAGCCTTAGGTATTAAAATTTGTCAACGATTTGTTATAAGTTTCGTCTTGCATGCAACCTTACCTTTACTTTTCTACCAATAAGTCACAGTTAGAGTTCATTGGAATTAATATCCTCAGTGAGGGCAGTCAGCAGCCCGGAGCGGCAAGGTGATGAGGGGGAGGGTCAAGAGGGGAGAGGGGGAGGGCTGTAGGCGCTGTGTTGCGCAACGCATTACAATAACGCGACGCTACGTGCCGCGGCCACTGCGCCCGCGCCGCCGGGGTCACACGACAACTGATTCGGGGAACACTTCATATTCCTAGGGTTGCTGACACTACTAATTGAACGAAATACGAAATTGAATAGCAAATCAAGGGTAGGAACGGTGTGTACCAACAGTAGATGAATAAATAATTTATCTATTTTGTTTCCGTGTGTAGGTACTTGTACAGTATGAAAAATTCAGGAATCTTAACTGTCAGTCCTAATAAATATATGGGTTTGGTTTACATCATCAGCCTTTAATAGTCCACTGTTGGACATAGGCCTCTCTTAAGAAAATAAGTTGGGTTTGGTTGGTTTGAACTAATTTCCAACAGGTACTCGTACCTACATCTTTAGTCGTATTGTCCTTATCTCATAAAAATAATAAAATAGACTATTATTTTTTTTAGTAGGAATTCCAATAGGTTCTACTCTATAATCTTTTTATTTAGTTTTCTAATTAACATAGCTCCTAATGATTTAAAAATAAGCCTGCAAGATTTTTTCAAATGATATAAATTTGTTTCTACTTAAGTAATAGACCGTACTCCTGTTATTATATCTACAATGTGTAGGTATTATGTTATAGTATAACTAACTAGCTATCAGTGGTGCTGACTTTGCGGTTTTCTTCCTAAATTTAGGGGAAAAGTATCTATAAAGGGAGTTTTTTAGGGGGTTAAATTTATTGGGGCTATTTTTAGGGATAAAATCACATTGAATGATTCCAGTTTTAATAGATGGCGCTGTGTATATTATATTGCAATGAATAAATACTATGTTCGTCGTTGGGAAATTTGGTGTGAATTTAGTGGTTTTTAAAATTGCTTTAGGAGGAAAGTTTTTAAACCGTTGGCAAAACTGGTTGCTATTACCCGCCGCCGCGGGTCGGAGGCGGGAATTTGAACTGAAAGGGCGGAGGGTTTTAAGCAGTTTAAATTCCCGCCTAGAATCCCATGCACTTTTGATTGAGATTGAACATTGAAGTGAAGTGAAAATAGTGAAGTTATCTATCAAAAATTAAGACTTGGCTTAAAGGTCTTGTTACCAGGCCATAAAAAATACAATAATAAAATAACCCGCCGCCGCGCTCGCGTCATAATTTCTTATTGCGTGTTTCTAACTTTGCAAGTGACTAACTTTCATACAACCGTTAATCCCTTATGTTACCCCTTTAGTAAAATCCAAAAAATTATTTTTCCAATTTGAAATTTCCAAAAATCCTTTCTTAGTGGGTGTTTACAATATAAAAACATTCAGATTTGTAGCCCCAGCGGTTAAGGCTCTGCGTTGATGAATCAGTCAAACAGAGCAAGTAATTTTATAGGCATAGATTATTGCATGAACAACTGTACTGTACTGTACTGTAGTACTGACAACCCTAGTCTTAACCGAACACACGACAGCTTATTAACACAAGAGGAAAGTAAATTTTCATCATTTTAGCACAACTCTTATCACTTAATTACTTATTGTTAATTAATTATTACTCATGCAAATGGGATCCGGGTGTAATGTGACATTTATTGTGCTGGCACACGTGACCTTTGTTATTAAAGCAAAAAGGATCGAATTCGCTGTAGTTTGCACTTAAGAGTGAATCATATTGACCTGACTCTTTATAAAATTGTATGTACGTGGTGCTATGTTTATTGAAACAATAAGATTTTATTTTCATAAAATGCAACGGGTTGCAATTATTAGTTACGTTTTATGTAAAAGCGTGGTCATCTATGAAATAAGAAATAGGTTGTAAAGAATGTAATAAGAACATTGAATAGTTTTGAATAAAAAAGATTTATGAGAAAATTCTTTGACACCTTTTTCACCTTCGACTATATTTAAAAAAAAACTATAATTCCACATAGATCAATACTCTATATATTTGTTTCATTTCACAGTGTTTGCTTAGGTGGTAACTTAAATATGAGATCATCATGGACCCTGCCGGTCACAGCGATAGATGACAGCGGAAGAGATAATACAAACTAACAATAATTTAACTTCAGTTATTTATGTACATACTTAATTTATTGGTTGCGATTTCGTTCAACTACAGTCGTTTTTGCCACTCAGGTATTCGTTGATGCTGTAATAGCATTTCTGTAGTAGTAGTTGTTTCAATCCATTTATGTATATATTTAATATGGTTTAATTTCTAATTCCTTCGGGTAATTTATTGTTAATTTTGATAGATATTACTTGAGTGCTATTTGAATGAATTTGAAGTCCGGATGAGGGTATAGTTTGTATATAGGGTGTGTAGTTTTTTTGTTAATCCTCCCTTTTTGTGACTTTTTGTGACCAGATAATACACTTGTCTATAGATTAAACATTATTGTGGAGACAATCAAATAGTTATGCAGTTAATGTTTTAGAATACAACTTATTCAGATATAAAATAGTATTAATTCAAATAGTTTATTATTATTTAGTATACTTATATATATATATTTTCCTATTTTTACACTACTACGTTACAGTAAATGCTATGTACACCGTTTACTTGTGCAGCCGTTTTTATATTATTATACAGAAAGCAAAAACAAAACATATTTAGACAATGTGTATTTAGAATGAGTTAACAATGAGTACATTGAAAACCTGACTTAATACCTAATATATTAGAATGGCAAACTGTTTTATATTTTTAATTGTTAAAGTCCATATACTCGTATCTACAATTTGTGCATTGTATCATCGTTTTACATTAAAGGATGTTGATACAATGTAAAAAATTAATATGTAGTGTATGAAGTGAGTAAACTGTCATTGTAAACATATGTCTCAATTTCAAGACAGGTAGTATAATTAAGGTATAATTAACCGTCAGTATTCTATTAAGGGACGAGCTATTTTTAGATAGTTGTTAGGTGCCAAAACATTTTAGTCATGTAATAGAGAAGCCAGTGTTCCAGCGGTCCACGCAAGGATGCGCGGGCGACGCGCGTTTCTTTTTAGAAAGTGGCACGTGGCGGGGTTGTTCACCCTACGCGATCCGGGTCAGGCGTCTCGCCCCCCGTACCGCACCGCCTCGCGCCCCCTCCGACAGCAGCGACGTCTAGGTACCATGTACTTGATGTGAGTGTACTAGTCCTTGATAAGGGAACTTCATTGACACCATAATTGAGTGTAACCGGGTCAGCGGATAAGGCCTCCTTATCGCGCCCACCGGCTCTTGCACAGGACCACGCTATGTGCCATACCCATGCGGACACGCATACATTCGCGCTAGTGCGCAAATACCCGCAAGCGAAAAACATCTTCAACCTTTGCTTTCAGTGATTTCTACTTAAAAGAAACGATAGCTAAATAAAACAAAAAGTTTTTAGTACATTTAATGGTTTAATAAAGTATCTTGTTAAACATCATAATATACATAATTTTATTGATTTTATAATGAAAGAATTTTATTTCATTACACGTTAAGGTATGTATGTTATAAAATTATTATGAACTATTTACTAACTCCTATTAAATTACCATTTCATTTTATCAATAATTTAAACAATCTACTTAATTAATTATTATGATCTTTAATTACATAGCGAAGTAGGAACACGTTACGAAAGTGAACTAATTTTTAATTAGTGGTAAAATATTGCATCAAATTAATTTTTCAATTAATAAACATTAACTAATGTGATGTACGCGCAATTGTTTACAACTTTTTTATGTTTATAATTAAAATACATTATTAAATAGAATAGTAGTAGGTATAGCTACAAATAAGTGTCTTATTGTTACGTAAGCATGTAAACTAGTATTATGTGCGTTAAGTGCGTCTTTATATTTGTGCAAACCATTTATAAAATATAACGTAACGGCGGCTTCTTTGGTCTTATGGTTGCTACCTTTGTAAAGGAGTCGTTTTTTTTTATATGAAATGGACGAAATCCTTTTTCAGTCCTAACAACGTGTTTGCAAAATTTTAATGACGATTGGTTTTGTAGTTAGGTGAAAAAAACGTATAAAACAAATAACCTACTATATTTATAAATTATTTGGTTATGAAAAGGTGGTTATGGTTGGTTACAAAAGTATGACAAAATACAAAGCAAAAGACGGACTACACCAAAAACCAAGAAATGCCATTTGATCGTTATCAAATTCATAAACGGCTTTACTCGACTTTAGAGTTGCTAATCTACTAACTACTATCGCAGTAATATTTTTTTGCAAAATTCACGTAAAACTTACAAGTAGCAATACACATTTGATTTCTATAACAAACAATATATTTATTTCTTTGCAAGAAGGTGTAACTCATCAAATAATATGACCAAGGAATGATATAATGTAGTATTTTTCCTACTTATCATTTATTTTTGTTCCAAAATGTCATTATTGTCTGAAATGAAAAAACGATCTACATAAAGAATAACATGTCACTACGATCGCTTACTCATTTATATATATATACTATTTATATAAAATTGAAGCAGGCTTATGTGCTAAAAGACAACAACACTAAAACTTACATTTGGTATCTTCTAGATGTTACAACTGTAAACATGTTTGTTTCTCAGTAAAGGCATAATAGATGAATAGATTTGAATGAAATCGTTGCAAAAATAGATGGTATCCTGAATAAACAACTAGGTAAAAAACAATTTCTTAGCGCGCACGAAGGAAGAATAAGAATAAATAAACACATCGCACGAATAAGATGTAATTTGAAACTTTGTTTCTAAAACATTTTCAAGTGAGGAATTTATTTGCCTTAACTACTAAACCGATCATTAACAAAATATGCACACACTTTGTCTATGATATAGGGTACCTTGTCTGGTTTTGGAGATAGAAAAATATAATATAATATACTTTACTTAAGAGCAAAAATATCTTCATCCCTTCATCCCCACCGAGACATAATTGTTTGAAAAAAATATTAATGTTTCTTATGTACAAAAATAAAATTATCAAAGCGTTCTGAACGTGCGTACTGAAAAGCCTTGTGTGCCACAGCCTTACTTAATAGAGAATTAAATATATTTACTTTACTACTCCTTTCAGCATTTATGGTGTTCTCCATTAGTGCAACAAAACTCTTTGCCGGCCGAAAAGCTGGTGGGTGTCCATTCTCCACCGCAATTGCGTATAAACAGGAACGCCTTTTCTCTGTCGACATCACGTTCTACGGCACCGCAGATCACTGGGCCGGCACGGGGAAGATAATTCAAGATCTGAAAAAATAACATGAAATAAACTAACTAGATGCAGTGCAATGAATAGAATTTATTACCTGAAACAATCCGAGTTCAAAAAAAATTTAACGTAGACAGAAAAAAACTGTAATTCACAAAAGAGTTTGTTAAAATGCTGCTGCAGCTGAAACCCAACAAACTCAATTATGGACTGAAGAGTTCTGTAACTAACTAGAATATCTTATAACTTAAACAAAAAATACATATAGCCTTCCCCACAGAGGGCGTTCAGGCTGTGATGATATCACCTCGGAGTATGGTACCCTTAGGACGGAGTAAGGTGTAAAAAATGCCATAAGTATAATGAACTAACTCGACAATTACAACAACTAAGTAACTCAAAATTTAACACATACGTATGAAGATTCTAATTTGTATACCTACTACTACCTGGAGCTTCGGCAAGTTAAAGAAGTTCTACAACATCTGCTTAAGATTTACAACTTGCACGGATCTAATCGGTGTTCATTTACAATCAGCCTTCGGATTCTATTGTCATAATAAATTGCGACAATATGTTCTGACCTCACCACGTAAACTAATTATAACAAAAGGCCTTGAAACTTGATGCTTAGGAGGTTTTACAAACCATGCAATTATCATTAAAATCCTGAATACCTACATTGAAAGATACTGATGCATTGCCAATTCGAAAGTTATTTTGTTTTATAATATTGTTTGTGTTTTAAATTGGTTTAAAAACGATGACTTTTTAGTACATAGCATAATTCTAAGGATCATGAAATATAATGAGAAACATCCCTAACGTAGCTAGGTAGGTACTCATAATTACTTTTATAGGTCTGGTAGTTTAGTGGTTAGTAAACCTACAAAAATTATCCCTAATGATTTATTAATCAGCAGGCTTCTTACATTATTTTTTTCAAAATTCAATTCTTAGGGCAAGTTTGGAAGCTTTATATTGAGTATAATTTTTTGTTCCAGCTATTGAAGATTTTTTTTACGTACCAACAACATTATGATGATGATAATGGAGTTGGCTACGTAATTTTGATAATTTTAATACGTAACAATGATGGGTGGACTGCGTAAAAGAGGATAGAAAGTGTACCTATAATGGAAGAAAGAACAAATTGCGCCGATTCTAAATGAAATTGTGAGAAGGTTATGTGGATAGAATGTAGTAACAAAATAATGCAAGAAAGATAAAAGAAACTCCTAATCTTGAATTATTTTATTGCCTAGGAACAGGATGGACTTTCCGATGTTATAAACGTTTAGTTTTACAGAAAAGTGTTTAAAAAAAACACAAAAACATTTTTAAGCCATAAGTTGCTACTGGGGTACCTAAAAGTTGTGTTTTTTTCTTTCTTTTTTGTGACTCCTAGTACTATATACTACTGCCATCTATCGTGCCTTTACGGTATCACTGATTCTTGCACTTAATGACATTAAGAATCAAAAGATCCCCTTGGTATGAGCCCAGTTTATTTTCAGAGTTCGGTTCCTATTGTATATATATATATAATGCATAAAATGGAAACACATAACCTACATATACTGCAAATTACATAAATTATGTCGTTTTATCTTCGCATACAGGCACGACCGCGTCGACCGCATGTTTTGTAGCAGTCCTTACTGCATAAAAAACATAAGCGAAATACAATTTTATTATGACGGTCAACCCAACGGTTTCGGACTTTTTTCAAATTAAATATTTTCAGCTAAATTAGCTAATTCATTTCTAAAATTATATCTATTACAGACACGTACTAATACTTTTTATAAAACTTTCACCATTTTGTAGACGGGCGCCTGCAACCGCAACTTATACTGTATATATACGCTTAAAATTTAAATAAGTAACTAATTTCAATCAAATAGTGTCTTAGCTTAGTAACCCCTTTCTAAAACATTATCATCATCAACAGCCTGTCATAGTCCACTGCTGTGCTGGACATAGGTATCTCCTTAGAATGGAGGTATTGGCCTATAATACCACGGTGGCCAGACGGGTTGGTAAAGGTTTATGTCAAGTTTTCCTTCTCTTTGCAGTGCTGTTGGCCTGTGTAGTTTGCTCCCTCAGTCGGCCCTTACGACACCCATGAATAGCGGTGGTAACACTCCGTATTCTCACGTCATCACACGGACCTATCTCAAGGTACGGAAAATAAACATTAAAAACAAAAAAGCGAATTTTGTAGAACTAAATGAATGAAAGCATAACTTACAGCAAAGACTACATACTAACGGCCAATTTACCTAGCGACATCTAGCGAAGATAAGGAGACCTATAAAGCTATCGAGTACACTAACTTGTCTAATCTAAAAGGAGGTTCTACATTGTGTACTACAAAAAAGTAGGTTCTTTTTAATGTAAAAACATCTTTAAGTGTCGCAATGTTCTTAGTAGTTAACAGATCCTTGTTGTCACTATGCTTGCACATTCAAGATACTGTAGATTGAACATTCTGTGTTATTTAAACCGTCTCGGGCCTTCAAAAGTATAGATTAATTTTATTTTCATAAATTTCCCAAACGTTATTGGATAGAATGCCTAGTTATTCTACTGATTGTATATTTACTCCGCCAATATTCAAATATCCATCATCTAGTCTTTTTTTTTTTTAAAGACAACTCCCGCACTAGGAATAAATCCTGTGTCGCGGGGGGCTTTACAAACATACATTAAACGGACACAAAGAACACCCAGACTCAAGACAACAATTTGTGAATCACACAAAGTGTCGTCCCATGTGGGGATCGGACCCACAGCACTCAGCGTAGTAGTGGCGTGGCGTGGCGACCGCTTTAACTACTACGCCATCCGTGCAGTCAGTCTTATCGTCAATTACTTTAAATTTGAGGTATAACCAAATAGACTCACCACATCAAGACACCGTGATATGCAATTCCTCAAACCGCTGCCACAAGGAAGACTTGGCGAGTCAGTATCATAAGTTACTACCGGCTCGCCTTGTGGAGGTCCACGCGGCCTGCTACGCCTGCCTTCTTTCAATCCTACCTGCTGCGATAGAAACACACCACACTGGCATGGTTCCAGCTGCCAAAAAAAAATCAGAATATACAATTTTGTACAGCTATTACTGAACTTCAAGCTGGTCGATGCTAGTCAGTGATACTAGCTGGAGTAACTAGTGTTTTAAACGACGATATTTTCCGCTTGGCGTTAAATGTCCGAACCCTTTTAAACAGATCCACTGGTGACTTGGTTTTAATCTAACCAGACTGCTGATAAACATACTTATATATTTTTACAATACATACATAATATAGATAAATTACACCCAGACATTGAACAAATGACCATGCTCATCATCATCATCATCAACAGCCTTTACTAGTCCACTGCTGGACATAGACCTCTCCTCAGAAAGGAGGTTTTGGCCTACTATACCACACTGGCCAGACGGGTTGGTATAGGGTTTGTTTCAAGTTTTCCTTCTCTTGTTTGTTTGACATTGTCCTGTACACACGTCTTAAATCCAAAAAAAAAAAAACTTTTTTTTACCTAAACTATTCTCGAATCTACTTGAACACAGATAACAATTCATCAAAATGGGTTCAGCCGTTTAGGAGGAGTTCAGTCACATACATAAGCACAGAAGAAATATACATATATAATGATTCTTAATTATTAAAAAGATATAAATTCACAGTACAGAGGCGAACTTTATGTCTGAGGGATTTTCTGTTAATCGACCTTCGGCTGATGCATTGAAAATGGAAAGTGGGTGAATCGAAAACATAAAAAAAATATTTACAAGAGAAATCAGGGCTGCATTGAAAACATAAAAATATAATATTTACAAATTAATGCTATCAACTATATTATTCTGGTCGAACATTTAAGTTATTTCAAAATATAAATTTGGAACAATCAGCAACAAAATGGTTTACTCTTTTTACGTGTTCGATTACTTAGAAATTTCATATATAATAAATATAATAATAATAATCAGCCCATCAATTTTAGCGATTAGACCGCAAAACCTCGCTTGAGAAATAAGGGAAGATTGAATATACCTTTAAAATTTTAGTTTTAACAAAATCTAGTCAAAATAATTCTCTCTCTTACCTCTTCTTCATTTTCAATCTCTTCGTCATAATTAACATCTTCATCTGACATCACGCTGACATAGTCTTCCTGTTTAGATTTGCGTTTAGCTTCAGTTGCCATGAACAGAGATAAGCTCAAGAAGATCAAGACCAGCTGATGAACCCCACGCATTTTGATTTGCTGATCCGTCTAATATCGTAAGAAAAACATGATGTTTAGGCGTTGGCAATGTTACAATACCATTTTTATTTTAATATTTTGTTTACCTCAATACACTTTATTACGATTTACAATAAATATGAGTTTTATTATACATATAGTATGAACTTACGATTACAAACCCAATTTGATTTGATCAAAGAACATATGTAGAAAAAAAAAGATAGTGGAATAATATAAAGCTAAAAAATCTTATAATCGATTCACAATCACAAAATTAAATATATTTAAACACAAGAAATGTAAGAAAACCTACAGCCGTTACTTCTAAGATGGTAGTGACCTAAGATTTAGTTTTTTTTATTAAAAACACATAACCGATTCAAAACAAAATGAATTACTCACAAGTACTTATACGAGCAGAGCTTGTAACTCCTACAGTCAGTTAAATCTTCAAAAAATCTTCCTAACGATATGTTGTAATCTACGGTGGTTCACAAAATGTGACCAACTTTAGAATCTATGTACTATATAAACTCTTCGTCTTCAATACTTATTATTAAGACAATAGCTTACGCAGCGTTTCTATATCTAAAACAAAACGTGTTAATTTTTACGTGACAGGCGTACAAATACAAACGTGATTGGAGATTGTATGGAGATAAGAAAGGCATTCCTAAAAACAAAAATATAATTTGTAACGTTGAATTCCCACGTTGATCGTCGGTACACTATTCCGATAAATTGAAACCAGTATTGGTGAGCATTTTCATTACATGGTGTCCTTGCAGAAGTGACAAATTAAATAGCGTGACATGACGGATTAAGATTGATTAAGGGTGTCACCACCCCTAATCGTCCCGTGGGTGTCGTAAGAGCCTACTAAGGGAGCAAACTATGCCGGACAACAGCACTACAAAGAGAAGGAAAACATGAAACAAACCCTATACTGTGGATTTAAAAATAGTTCACCTATATGAAAAAGGAATTATTTTAGTGGAACGATTTTTTACGAATTTTATTTAAAGGAATAATATTCTATCACATTCACACAACGCCATCTAAGTAGTCCCAAACTAAGCAGAGCTTGTACTATGTAAATACATAATACTTTTTTTGTAAATACATACATTTTATAAATAGAAACACCCAGACCAAATTAATCATTAAATGTTCATGCACACAAATGTTTGACTTGAGCGGGAATCGAACCCGCGACCTTTGGCGTAGCAGTCAGTTACACAAACCTAGTTATAGATCAGCCTTTCCCGAAGTGGGCGATAACGCCCCCTTGTGGGCGCTGCAGGCCTAAAGGGCCTATTGGGTAATTCAATATGTTATCCTAATGAGTAAAAAAACCCAGAAAAATGGGGGCATTGTGTAGAGGCTTGAGACTGAGCTCTCGACTACAACTTGTGAACATCAACTAATATTAACTAAGAGATTGCTCAAACTCGGTTCGATATTTCTCTTCGCGTAGTTCATATATCTGTCCTGTTTTATTGAATAAGTAAAATAAAAAGCCTGTCAATCGGTCGCTCCGTTTCGAAATAAAAGTAGACACAAACCAACAAATAAAAAGGCAACAGACACAATTTCGCATTTTATTTTTATTAATTAAGAGTTAATTTTGCAGCAATAAAGGAAGTAATAACTACTGTGCTTCATAAACCGGTCGCAGTAATTATCCGAAAAATTCCTTAGAGTAATAATTCTGTGCAAAGACTAATTGATGAAATGGCTGAAAACATTGAAGGATCATTGTGCAATAATCTGAGGACAAGTTAATTCTCAATTCAGCTCGATGAGCCCACTTTACCAACTAATGAAGAATTGTTGCTGTCTTACCTGAGGTTTATTAAAGATGATAAAATTTGTGTAGAACTATTGTTTTCTAGAAATTAAGAGACCGATACAAAAGGCGAAACCATATTCAATACATTGGAAAAGATTTGTGATGAGAAAGAGATTCCCTTGAAAAATATTATATCAGTTGCTACGGATGGCGCTCCGGCTATGACAGGGTGCCATAAAGGCTTCATAGCGTAGATGTCCTTGCTGTACATTGCGTTATTATTAGAAACACGACACCCGTAGCGGTGAAATTATTTAATAATGTCACAGATGGCACGGGTTTATAAACGGTCACGTTAATTGAAGTTAAAGTTTTATATATTACTAGCTGACCCCGCAAATGTTGTTTTGCCATATACATTATTTAAAAAAAAAAAAACAAAAAAACATTAGGGGTATGAAAAATAGATGTTGGCCGAGACCTACCCAATATGCACACAAAATTTCACGAAAATCGGTCTAGCAGTTTCGGAGAAGTTCAACTTCTAACACCGTGACACGAGAATTTTATATATTAGACTAGCTGACCCGCGCAACTTCGTCTGCGCCTCTCAATAGTAATAAATTTTCTCCGTTTTTGAAACATTCTTCATTGGTGCTCCGCTCCTATTGGTCTTAGCGTGATGATATATAGCCTATAGCCTTCCTCGATAAATGGGCTATCTAACACTGAAAGAATTTTTCAAATCGGACCAGTAGTTCATGAGATTAGCGCGTTCAAAAAAACAAACAAACAAACAAACTCTTCAGCTTTATAATATTAGTATAGATTAATATGTGGGTTTATGTATGTATGTAACTAGGTTAGTATTTATTTATGTGTATGTATTTGGTACGTATGTATGTATGTATATTTATCGCATTGTTTCTGTCAAACTTCTCAATAATTTTCTTTTACTTTACATATCATTGTCTAGTGCACCTAGTCACACATTTCAGCACCACCCTGAGGTAGACTGGGAGAAAATGCCTGTGGCATTAAGTCCGCTATTGTACAACTCATACTTGTGCATAAAGAATTAAAATAAATAAATAAATTATTATTACCAAATAAAAATTTTGCCCACAAAGTATTGCAGCGTACACACATATTTTAATTTGCACAATGGAGCTACAAGCAGTCTCTACTCAGCCGTTTACACTTTTCAATAGTCCCTCATACAGCCGGCGCAGGCAGCCAAGCTACCTAACATAAGTAATAATAGCGGTGATCCTAGGTCATCATAATCATCATCTTCCTACCCTTTGCCCAAATTTAATTGGGGTCGGTGCAATAAGTTTTCTTCTTCCAGTCTCCTTGATCACTCGACATCCTCTTTCACGCACTCCTTCATTTCATTGCGAAATGGTTTTAGCTTTTTCTTTTGTGGTCGACGTTCTTCTTCGTTCTTTGGGAACGTAAATCGTTCTTCGTAGATAGCATGAAGTGAGAGATATTTGGGAATTCTAAGTTTTTTTTCTATTCCTAGGAAGTCCTTCAGTCCTAAGAAGCAGATGAGATGTACCTTAGTTAACGAATTTAGAGTCGATGCGCGATAGACTAACTGGGTCCAAATAAGTTTATCATTGTATAGACAGCAGGATAACAATAATAAATCCTGAATTTGGAGATGAACATCAAATTAATATTCTTCAAGAATAAAACTTGTTACAACGAAGTTTGCCTCCTTGAAGAAAGATTATTTGAAATAGAAGGTAATAAAGAAATTCGTTAAGCGCGTCAGGCATTTTATTCTCTACAATCATAGAAGTACTATCTGAGAAAATTGACAAATTTACAATTTAGTAAACGCTTCGACACACAATTCTCATTACGGAATTAATTTCCCGCAAAAAAAATTACAATAAATTACACAACTCACAGCCTTCCCCATCAAGTTATAATTTTTATAGTAAATACAGGAGCTACCTCATCTAGCAATACTTTTAATAAAATCTGAAAATCCTAACGCTACATAAATCTATTTAAGTGACAAATATTACAAGCGTAATAAAACTACACACTCATATTCGTGATCTACGATAAGTTTTTGATTTAACTCAACTAATTTATAGGGTATACCTTATAATTGTTTCAATATTTATATTTTATCTAAAACAAAATGCGATTGTCAAAAAAATTGTAGTCACGCCATAAAAACAAACTTCATACTAAAGGGATACGACTTCTGTCTTTTCTACATATATTTTGGGCATATAGGTAAAGATAATGCAGCGAAGCTATCTTTCATATTATTGAGGTCAATGTCCTTGTTTTTATGTAATATCATAATGCACAGCAACATACAATATACTCTTACCACATCGGAAACAATTACAGCAAAATCATCAATAAAATCCACTGTGTTAAAAGTGTACCTACAGTTGATGGAATATCCCATATCAGCAACCTAATGCGCATCTACCTCACTTATAATAAGTGTCATGTAAAACGATTAAAACCAAAGAAAAAAACATATAAACAAGCAAAAATTTAATAAATTAACCAACATATCTGTAACAGAAAAATGGGTAAAACAAAAGTTTATTACATGCATTTGTAATACAAATATCAATACAAAGTGCAACATTAGGATAATGGTTAATAGCACATTTAATGTGTGGTGTTCAGAAGTAAGAAAAACATATTTAATGCTAACGACCGAAGAATAAATAGTAATGGCATATAACAAATTCTAGAATATTAATAAAAAGATTTTCAGTACCTATCATTCTATAAATTTTGGCAACCATTTTCATGACATAATATTCGTCAAAGTGAATTCTTAAAATGACTAACCTACATTCATTGTCATTAGGAAAATGTGATTACAGAATAGAAAACAATTAAAATGCCTTAGTAAGTTAGCACATTATAGCATAAGTTTAACAGTTTAATGTATGCCAAATGTTGTCACCTCATCAGACAAGGTTTCAAGTTAGCACTGTTACAGTTTGAATTTTTTATAAAAACTCGTATTATAACAGCATTAAATACAGAATTATAAAATCCGAGTTAGCTGCCATATACACAAACACGACTTTAAGGGTAGCACAAAATAAGACAATATTTTTAAAATATATATCTCGAATTTCATTATAACACATAATTAAAGCAATATATACTTTACATGTGAGGCAAAACGTCACTTCGCTAGCAACAAACAGAATAACAATTTGAATTAAATTATAAAGTTAAGTATACTTTACAAGATGCTCATGATGAATACCTAAACATTCTCATCTCTTCATTCATATTTAAACATTGGTTAAGACTTTCTGAGAAAAAAAATAAAAAAAAAAAATTTATATTTTAATAGAAAAAACAGGATCAAATTATATAAGCAATAATATAATTATATTTAATTTTTGATCCTTTTTATTGATAATTATAATATCTACAGTATATGTATGAGTTTAACTTATATGATGATCAAACCAACCAAGTATTATATCATAATAATTTTAATACTTATTAGTGATGTGCCGGATCGTTAACAACGTATATCCGCAGATACGGACCCGAATACGGATATTTGGTGTCAAGATCCACGGATACGGATCTTAAGGTTCTTACTCAATCGGAGCCCGTGACCGTGATAGTTGTCGCTACTTGACGCTTTGCCGTTGATATTTAAATATTTCATTATTTTCATAAGCTAATACAAAGATGTTTGATTGATCTCATTATAAAGATAGCTCTTTCAGTACCTACGACCTGCCTAGTTGATTTAGTGTAATACAATAAATGATTGCAATACAAAGGTGCCAAATATTTGTTTTAAGAAATAAAAAGTAATCTGAACAGAATTCAATAGTTTTTCATAGCTACCTAATAACCATTATTCAGGGTTATTTTAAATTTACTGAAAACCTCTGAAGTGCATATTAGTAACATTATAAACAACAACTTTTCTTCTGGACGAACACCGGAAACGAAAGAAAAAAAATTGTTTCTCCTTACAAACAAACAACATAAGAGTTTTACAGTGAATACAAAATCACCTATATAGAATTTCATCTATGTATTGAAAGATCCGCCAAAAAAGTCACGGATACGGATCTCTCTTCTCCCTTCGATATCCGCGGATACGGATATCCGGCACATCACTAATACTTATATATACATTTCGAAAATATCTATTATGATGATTGATGAATATTAGTGAAGCTATCATAAGTAGGGAGAAAAAAAAAATTTGGCTGTGTACCAAATTACTTCAATATCAGCAATTCACTTGCTTACATGTACATATGATAGAACATCCCATATCAGCAACTTAATGAGTTAAATAATCTCTTTCAGCTTATAATTTTCTTACAATTTATAACTACCCATTTTTTAAAACATATACATGACATGTATAGTTCTAGTTGTCATTCAAGCACATAGCAGTGTGCTATGTAACACCTAATCTGCATAATACAATAATGGTTCTGTTGGACATTGGCTAGATAGACCTCAACCAATTTCAATTTCTCTTGGACTTTTTTAATCCTACTTGCCCTCAAAATATGTTATATTTTTTTTAAGGAAGAGGATGCAAACGAGCAGGCAAGTGTTTGGTAACCTATTTTTTGGAAGGTTGAACCTCTTTCTTATTCAGAAATGACAAGTATGATACTCTTCATCTTAATTATTAAACACATTATACAGAGAAGATAATATTTCTTTAAAAATCTTTCATTCTCAAAATACTTGACAGCTATTGTGTATTCAACAAAATACTGTTAAAAGTTTACAGATCCACAACTGGCAAGAAAATAAGACTACAATTTTTTCCAGTCAATTTTTACAATATTTTTATAACCAGAAATAGATAATATCACATGTATACATCTGCAGTTCCATAATCGTTTAGCAGTGTATTCATGTATAGATTAATGAACTAATTGCTATCAGTCTTAATTTAGTTATAGACTATGAAATTTGTATAATAATGGACATCAAGTGGACAGATTTATAGGTTTTACTGCAGAACAATTTACAATTTGCTTAATAATGTTCATTAAACCTTCAAGGTCAAGAGTATTCTAATTAAAACTAAATAGTTGTACTTTACAGTTTACATTATTATTATTTCTTATCAATTTCATGAACTTATTGGCACACAACAGACTATATTCAATTTGTTGAGCTTTTCCTTATAATTTTCTTTAAATTCTATTTTAAAATTATAAAGATTTCATAATTATAAGAACTCTAAATGCAATATTGCATTTACTATTTTTCTCTTACTATTAATACTTAAAATTAAGAAATAAATTACTATTACTTAATTCTCTAATAGTCTTTGGCTAACATCAATTTAGCCTCACCCTCAAACACAACCTTTTTTTCTTCCTCCACAATGCAATAAAACTTCACTTTGAGAATTTTCCGCACATCAACAAGTTCAACACTAATAGTCAGCTTCTCACCAACAAAACACTTGTTGGGGAATTTCATAGTTTGTGAAACAACTACAGTCCCTGGTCCAGGCAAGTGGGTACCAATCAACCCTGCTACCAAACCATTTAGAAGAGCACCGTGAACTATTGGCCTCTTGTTACCGTTGTTCTGATGTAAATGGTTATGGTCACTTGTGAGATTGGAGAAAGCATCTAAGTCTTTCTGTGTTAAAGTTTTCTGTATTCTTATTTTATCTCCAGCTTTAAAAGCTGTGTTGCTAAATGTAGTTGTGTGAATTTTACATATCTTCTGATAATTTTTGTTATTCACTACAATATAAGGAAACCTGTTAGACAACATCTTGTTTGTTGTTTGAAATTTCATTTACATTTGTTCATTTTTACTGGAGACATATTGTAGAAATATGGTAGCTAAATTAACTAATCTTTGATCATTAGACTGCTGGATGCTACAAACATTTGCAATAACTTCTTCTGTATATAAGTCTGAGCTGGTTTGATATTCATGCAGTTGAATTAAAGAAGTTATAGTATCAGCTAATATATCAGTATCAGTTAATTTCAGTAGTGCTGTCAGTGGTTTAAAACCACAGTGTGTCAAAACATATTCAGCATTCAACGGATCTGAAAAAAAGACACTTTTATCATTAAACATCACCATAATAATATTACTAAGCTATATGACTTTAACTGGGTCTGAAATGAATTTAAGATTGATTGGTTTTATAATTATAATCAAAAGAATTAGTAAAAAAGTAACATAAAATTTTCCAGTAATAAATGGCAAACTACTGAATTCTATAAAAATCTCTGAAGAAAGATTTCAGCACTGTCCTTACCAAAGCATAAATTGCACAGACCAGCCACAGCATAGTGAAGCAGTTGACGATCGCTTTCATTTTTTATAACATAGAGAAATATATCCAAGACTCCAACATTTCTGATGTATTCGTAGTTAATTGGATCGTAAGCAAAATTGGCCAAATTCGCTAATACTTGACATTTACCATCTGAAAAAGAGATTATTGTATGAACTATGAAATCGCAAAATTATTTACATAGTTACTTATAAACAGCTGTTTAAGCTGTTTTGCCAATGTTCTGCATTACCAATACTATTGGCTCAAAAATATTTATTCAAGCATATGAGATAGGATAATTACCATAAGACGAAGAATGCAAATATTCATCCACTAATAGAGATAAAAAAGATTCGCGATCGGTACCATTTTCAGGAGTTCTTTTTGCGAGTTGAGTCTTGCTACTAAACATTGATAAAGCAAATTTTTAAGTTAGCCTTTTATTTAGTTTTTAGCAAACAACATTTTAATTATCGATTTAGATACAAGTATTTCACGCGCCATTCTTATTCGGCCATCTTGAATTCCTTTCTTGGGACTCTGTCTGTCTGTCAGTTTTGGTGAAATACAGATCTTTAAAATAATAAGTGTGTGTCCGCACAGCGATATTTCACCGGCGTTTTTTTTTCCCCTTAAAATTCTGTGGAAATAAATCGCCACCGTATTGCGTTCATTTTGAATCAAATCACAGAGATTTTTTTGCTCAATTTTTTTTTCGCTAGTGCGGATAGATCTCATTAAGCCATCGTCTTTCCATCTGCATGGAAAGCAGCTGAAATTATTCCATGCCAAAAAAATCGAAACCTTCGTCCTTCTCAGACTATCGCCCTATATCTATCTTACCATTCCTTTCTAAAGTTCTTGAACGTCTTGTTTATAATCAACTCAACAAGTTTCTGTTAAGTAACAATCTCCTAAATCCCTTTCAGTCTGGCTTCCGTGCAGGACACAGTACAGTGTCAACATTAGTCCACATCACAGATGATATATATGTATTATACTTACTCGACTTCAGTAACGCATTTAATACCATCGATTTCCATATTCTCCTTGGTATTCTTCGCTCTTTCAACATATCTCCAGGGGCAATTGATTGGTTTCACAATTATCTGTTTGGGCGTCAGCATCGCATTCGACTTGAAGACTCCCTCTCTTAATGGTGTAATGCAACTGTCAATGTCCCACAGGGTGGTGTTCTATCTCCATTACCCTTTGCAATTTTTATTAATTCTATTTCCAATCATTTACTTTCATCCTACCACCTGTATGCTGATGATTTACAGATATATACCCATGCACCTGTCAGTACGTTATCGACTGCGCTTAATATTATTAATTCAGATCTAGAGCACATAAGTGCTTAGAGTAACGACTATGGACTCAAAATTAATCCCACAAAATCACAGGTATGCATCATTGGGAGTCCCATAATGTCTGCTAAATTTAATTGGTCACATTTGCCTCCGGTTCAATTTAACAATATCATCATACCGATTAGCAGCAAAGTAAAAAACTTGGGATTTATAATCGATGGCACCTTTTCATGGGGACCTCAGATTCAGGAGGTGAGCCGCAAAGTTATCGCTGCAGTGGGATCTTTGCGAAGGTTACGAAATTTTTTGCACTAACGCTCCTTCTTCCGATTCTTGACTATACCGACGTTAGCTATCTCGATACCACCGAAGCACATCTTGATAAACTTGAGCGTCTCCAAAATTTTTGTATACGATTCATATTTAGTCTTCGCAAATATGATCATGTTTCCCACTACCGTAAAAAGTTCAGGTGGCTTCCGATCCGCCTTCTCCGGAATACTCATGTCCTTACGCTTTTGTATAATATACTGTTTAATCCATTAACTCCTATATACCTGAAAGAACGCTTTAAGTTCCTTCATGACACACATATTTATATGTCTGAGGTCTCTGAAACCTGAGATTGGAAATACCAAGGCATTCTACCAATTTCTACACAAAATCATTTTCCGTAGAAGCTGTACGTTTTTGGAATGCCTTGCCGGTTACTATCAGACGTGCTCAATCCGTAACTACCTTCAAGACTATGCTATATGAGCATTATCTCTAATATTTGAAAATTAGCGTATGTATATATTAACGTATGTATGTATAGTATTTATGTATAAATATAGATTAGTAGTATTTATGTATAAAAAATATTTCATAGGTTAAGACCTTATTAACTTCTCTAATTTATGTATACCTATCACCAATTTAAAATGAATCCATCCAAAGGTTGCCTGGAAGAAATTGCACAAAGCGATAAGGCCGCCCTTTGAACATTACATCTGCTTTTAATTGATTATAAAGTCTGTAAAACCCTGGTGTACAAATAAGGTATTTATCTATCCATCTAAATATATACGGATCGAAAATCTCTTTTATGCAAGTGCCGATCTACAATCGTCCATTTCCTAAGGGGTTGAGCCTCATGAGAAGAAAAGGCAAACACTCTTTTCTTCCACAAGAAATCGATTTCTTTCACAGGAAATCAATGTAATGAGGTTCCGGCTCTGGAAGAATGACTGACTGGATATGACTTTCCTAGACTAACTAATCAAGAAACACAAGTTATACTTCAGTTTCCGCTTATTCCATCAGTCAGCGTTTTGGCCCTTGGCCAAAAACATACATGCAGTTAAATAGTTTGAGTTAACTTACATTAGGTTTAAAAAATATGATTTTATATAGCATGAAAATACTTCAAGAAAATCTCATCGATCCTGGATTTAAAATAAAAATCAATCTGTCAGTCAACATAGCCAGGGTAATAAATTAGTGTTCTGTGGTTAAGTCATTCCCAAATGAAAACTCAAATGCCAATGTCACTGTAAATCAAATTGTAATTAGATATTCAACCTATTTAATTTGGGTTTGCGGTGTATTGTAATAACAGTTAGGTTACATAAAATGTAAAGCTTTTCATTTATATATTAAATAAGTAAAAAACAACGTGACAATGGCAGCCACTCCATATATTGCTGGTAAATTTTTGTAATGTACTATTGACAAACGAAGTGTACAGCATGTGCTGTAGGTTATAATGAAAACTTATCCATTTCAGGTTTAACGAATAAAAATATATTTGCAATTGACTTCAAGGAGCCCTATGAAGAGAAAACTCTAAGAGATGAAACAACGATTCGTAGCTTTGTGTTTAGTCCTAAGGGCACGTATATATCTTATCGGACAGATAAAAAGTAGGTATAACTATGTAGGACTACCCCATATGTATACATATATATAAGAAATGTTACTTTCGTATGTTGTGATTACAAAACTGATGGCACAAGCTTTTATCCTAATAAATAGGAGGACATAAATTGAAATATAGTTTCACTATAGACTTCAAAAGTCGATTGGTGTCACAGTATTGCAGCAGCGTTTAACTACGCGGAACCTCACAAAATTCATAACTATCTAACTTGTGTGACTAGTAGTGTAGAGTATTTCAAAACGAGATGGAAAATTTAGACCAGTTCATATCATGCGGTATTGGAACCTGTATCAGTATGCAGGTATTTTTTAGGCACAGCTGCTTCGGAAAGTACCTTTACTTGGTCACTTAAAGAGAATTGAGTCCTGCTTTCCACCCCTGCAGTCAGCACTTACCTCAACCTCTGGAAGGATGACATCAGAAGAAACAACATAAACTTCTGATATGTGACAGAATAGTATGAAACAACCGTGTAATCACTGGTATATACAACCATAAGAAGTGTAAAGATAAGCCAGAAAATTTCCACCTCAATTTTTGTCTATGTAATTCTTGGCAGAAAGCTGACTTTGAGTAGCTATCAAAGTCAGTTTACTGCCAAGAATTACACTTAAGTACTTAACCTAGGAACTTAGCTTATGATGTACACAAAATATTGAAAATACATTTCACACTGGTATTAAAAAAAAAAACATGTACTGTTCCATCTGTAAACTTATTTTTTATTTATTTTTAGAGTGGAGATAGTGAAATGTTCTGATTGGTCTGTAACAGCCACTATTGATGGAAACATCAAGGATATGTTCTTTTCACCATTGGACACTTATTTTACAGTATGGGAAATGTTTTTGATTACTAAAGAAAATCCTCAGGTATTCTTACATTGATAATTTTTACTTTAAATGGAATTATGAGACTAGATTCAGTAATAACTGATAATTAAATAAGTGTCTTACAATTTCAGGGTAAACCGAATCTTCATGTTTACAAAGCAGCCACTGGTGAGCTTGCTGGAAGCTTTGTGCAAAAATACCAAACTGGATGGTAAGAAAAATTATGGAAAAAATTATGAACTCAGATTATTGCCTTTATTACAAAGTTTTAGTGATTACAATAACTTAAACTCTATATTATTCCCTACCTGCCATCAAAAAGTTCCCAGTTGCGGTTTAACAAAGCTGGTAGTTTCTGGGTTACATGATAATTAAGTACTTCTGAATATTCATACCTATTACTGCATTCCCTACTGGCTAATTAAAAACAAATTTCTTATTTTTTTTTACTCTTACTTTTACTCTTATTTCATCTATCTCTGAGAGAGAGTGTTCCTGTGATTATTTAAGCTTTCTACTCTTACCAGTTTTTGTTCACTGATTGTTTTTGAAAAATAGCAGTTGCTCATTTGCTACCATGTGGAAGTTTTCAAATCCAGTTAGATCATCTAATACATTTTAAATTAAAGTAACATTCAGCTATACTAATATATCTAAACAATGTCTCAATTAATATTATTCTTAAATATATAAGAAGGACAAGTAGCTGATTTTATGTGTTTCATTATCACTTGTATATTATGCTTGTTTCTACTCACAGGGAACCAAGATGGTCATCGGATGAGAAGCTGTTTGCTCTACAAATGAACAACAGAGTGCTCATATATGAGGACGATAATTTCGATAAATTTGTGCAGCAACTACATGCTGATAAACTAAAGTCATTCAGCATCTCACCGAGCCCTGCTCCCACATATTATTTTTCATCATTTACTTTAGGTGAGGATATTATATTGACAGACTTGACTCCACTTATAACTAATTTCGTCTGATGTTGTTTAAAGTATCAACCTCCTACACAATCTTTGATTAAGTAGGTATATTACAGTTTTATTGATGTGTGTGCTTTGTTAAGGAGTGAAATGCCATACTCAACCAGATTGAGTCTAGTCTGCAACCAATGCATTGGGAATTTTAAAACTAGCTGGGGTTTTATTTTTTTTGTATTGTAAACAATAAACAGTCTTTATGTATTAGGGCCAAGAAACTATGCAACTAAATATATTGAATTACTGTATGGTTTTAGGTAAGCAAGGGCAACCTTCATTCTGGCGCGTGTTTAAGTATCCACAGCTTGAGCAGACACAGGCAGTGGTGAGCCGGTCTTCATTCCAAGCAGACAAAGCTAACTTCCACTGGAACAAACGTGGCACTAACGTTTTTGCCATGACGCAAACTGATGTTAGTATAAACAATAGATATGGGTAACAGCTAAATTTTTGCTTCAACTCAGGACCTTTGAGTTAACTTGAAATTAGGTGATTGCTCAATAAAATTGCAATAGAGTGTAAGGGCAGGGCCGCTTGATTTGTACCAAAGTCTAGACCAATTAGCCTTGAATACTGCAAAATAAAAAATAATACCAATTCCCTCATTTAGTACAAATAAATTACATCCACGTAGTATCTATTTCTTGGGTGGCATTGCGTATGGTCTAGCGTTGCTGTGAGAGGAGAAAGGTTTTGAAAGTTCCTCAGAAAAACTATATTAAACTGAGGCGCTACGCTATAAGTATTGATAATAATCAATACCTAGTCTCCTCCTTGTACAACAACTAGGTAGGTTACTTCTTAAACTGGGTTGGCAACGCGGCAGTGTCAACGCTGATATTGCAAAGGCACATGAGCAACTGTTATTATAGGTACCTAATTCCAGAGATACATTCACGTTCTAGTAGCTACCCAGAGTACCCTGTTCTATTAGCCGAGCAGTACGTAAGATATCTAATATAAACACTTACTTTTACAACACGAGTTTGCTGTTAACACGTAAACACTTTGAAATCCTTATTTCATTTTGTACTGGAACCCGTAATCACTAGTAGCGATGTTATTCACGTAAATAAGTATCATAAACCTGTAACGAAATAATAAGGATATAGTTTTTATAAAAATGCTATTTTATAAAATACTCGGAGAAAAAATATAAAAATTACAAGATTAGAAAGAATGTCTACATGACGAAGATGCAATAAAACCCAAAGTATCGTTATTACACATTACTATATTATTCGGTGGGAGAAGCGATATTACACCTCCAATATGAAGAAAAATGTGCTAAAAGTTTTTTAATTAATTTTCATTCTTTGCTTAACTAATTACGTGCCAACTGTTCTAGGTGGATAAGACTGGTGGCTCCTATTATGGCAAACAATCTTTATCTTATGGTGACGTCAAAGGAACCTCAGGGAACGTGACATTCAGTAAGTTATAGGTAATACTTAAGTTCTCAAACTCAAATTGAAAAAATCCCAACCTATGCTTGAACCTGCCATAAAAATCAAAATACAACCTTTTATATGAGAAATGATAAATAGACTATTATTCTAATTTCCCATATTTTACAGGCAAAGAGGGTCCCATTCACGCGATCTCATGGAACCCTGGCAACTCTAACGAGTGGGTAGCTGTTTATGGACACGCTCCCGCCAAAGCTACCGCATTTAACACGAAGTGCGAGCCCATCTTCGAGTTCGGCACTGGCGCGTGGAATTCCATATATTTCCCGCCCGAAGGAAATCATATCCTTTCATACTAAGACTACTGCCTATTATTGCCGTGATATCTAACCGATTATTATTTTTTCAAATGAAATCAGCATCAGAATTCACCTAATTTAAACTAATTTAGAGACATATTCAATAGGGCATCCTCTTATCCATCGATGTTTTCATAGCTTTATTTATCCATATCTAACGCTCACTTGAACAAACTTCTTCATTCGAGTTTTTGCCCTCTTAACATTCTAGAATTTTATTGAAACTTGATGAAACATTCAATATGGATCAGAACAGGTGATTTATTATTAACGTCATATAATAATCTCTGTTGCTAATATAGTAACGTAAAATGTAAATCGCGCCCAGAAAATAACACACACATTAATAACAATATCTTAAACCAATAAGTGTCAATTATCCTTAACTCCAATGCACGTATGCTTATCGCCGGTTTCGGTAACATAGCGTCCGGTCACATCGAAGCCTGGGACTTGCGTGGGTACAAGAAGATTGGCACTTGCGCCGCGCCTGATACGACCAGCCTTCAATGGGACCCCAGGGGAGAGTCCTTTATCACTGCTACCACGTATCCTAGACTTACTGTAGGAAATGGGTAAGCTTTTGTCTGTATATTTTCAGTATTAATAGGAAGTAAATAATGTAGTAGGTAGGTATTATGTCATCATCATCATCAACAGCCTTACTAGTCCTTCGCTGGACATATACCCCTCCTTAGAAAGGAGTTTTTGGCCTACTATACAACGCTGGCCGGACGGGTTGGTATAGGGTTTGTTTCGAGTACGCAGGGCCATGTCGTGCGGTGTTCCGCAGGGGTCTGCCCTAGGACCTCTCCTGTGGAACATCGGGTACGACTGGGCCCTACGAGGGCGTCTCCCCCCCGGGCAGGGTGTAATCTGCTACGCGGATGACACTCTAGTCACGGCCCGGGGGGCTAACTTCCAGGAGGCGGCGCGCTTGGCCGCCACAGGAGTTTCCCTGGTGGTCGGGCGCATTGAGGCGTTGGGATTACGGGTGGCCCTGGACAAGACGGAGGCCCTATTATTTCATGGGCCCCGTCGTGGTCCACCCGCCGGCGCCTCAATCGAGGTCGGCTCGGTCCTCGTACCGGTCCGGGCCCAGATGAGGTACCTGGGTCTGGTCCTAGACGGTAGGTGGCTCTTCGACGAGCACTTCGGACAGCTTGGTCCGAAGCTGGTGGACACTGCCTCCGCCCTAGGGCGACTTTTGCCCAATTTGGGCGGGGCCAGTGTTCCCACGAGGCGGCTGTACGCGGGGGTTGTCCGGTCCATGGCGCTGTATGGTGCACCGGTGTGGGTGGCGGCTCTGACCGCCCCGAATAGGGCGCGCCTCTGGCGCCCCCAGAGGATATTGGCGGTCAGAGCCATACGCGGATACCGCACGGTGTCCACCGAGGCGGCTTGCGCCTTGGCCGGAACACCCCCGTGGGATTTGGTGGCGGAAGTGCTCGCCGAAGTTTATCGGCGAGTGGCTGACTTCCGGGTGGAGAGCGGATTTCGCCCTCCGCCCGAAGACGTGCGCGAATGGCGCGAATGGCGCGAAGCCGCTCGCCGAGCCACCATGGTCAGATGGTCGTTCCGGCTGGAGACTCCACGCGCTGGCTTCGCCGCCGTGGAGGCTCTCCAGCCGGTCATCGCCGAGTGGGCGGGGCGGCAGCACGGGACCCTTTCCTTCCGGCTGACGCAGGTGCTTTCCGGGCACGGTTGCTTTGGAAAGTACCTGTACTCGGTCGCTAGGAGGGAATCGAGTCCCGCCTGCCACCACTGCGACTGCAGTGAGGATTCGGCCCAGCACATAGCCCTGGCGGTTTGCCCCGCATGGGTGACGCAGCGATGGGCCCTCACTGCAGTCATCGGAACAGATCTCTCGCTACCGGCCGTAATTCGCTCCATGGCCGGTAGCGACAGTGTTTTACCGCGGTCGCAACCTTCTGCGAGGAGGTAATCTCGCAGAAGGAGGCGGCGAAGGCCCGGGAGGACGACCTCCACTCGGACCTGATCCGCCGCCGGCGAACCGGGCGGCGGAGGCGCGCTTACCTGCGCCTCATGCCGCCCTGAGTGTGGCCGCGGGTGGACGGGATGGGTGTCCCCTCCACCCGCATTAGTTGGCCAGCCGCGAGGGGGCGGCGTCCGCGTGTGACGTCGCATAAAGAGAGGAAAAAAAAAAAAAATTTGAGACGGAGCCCGCAACAGGAGCGGGCCGGCGCTGGGAGGGGTCCAGAAGGCGATAACTACCTGGACCCCTCCTAAACTGGAAGCGCAAAGAGGGCACACCGTGTGGTTTTAGTCGGTTCGAGTCCGACACACCGCCCCGCCGAACAAGAGCCCCGGCGGGGTGACGGTCCGAGGGGATATCCACACGTAAAAAAAAAAAAAAGGGTTTGTTTCGAGTTTTCCTACTCTTTGCAGTGCTGGTGTCCTGCGTAGTTTACTCCCTTAGTCGGCGCTTACGACACCCACGGTAATAGGTGACACTGTGTTCTTAACCTGTCACCACACGGATAGGTATTATGTGTTATGGTATTATTCTCTTGACCAAAAAACAACAACAAAAGCCGCTAAGGCTTTTGTTTGTCGAACGAAAGCTTGTTTCAAAGTTACTGTAATAATAATATTGTTAGATTAAGTAATTGATACGTTATCATTGATAGAATTACATACAACCTTTATGGTATTATGTACGATTTTTTTTTGGTTTGTATTTTCTTTTTAATGGCGTAATGGAGTAACCAGTACCATAAGCTGTTTTTTTAAAGAATTGCATGGTTCTTAATGAACAGTTATTTATTATTCCACACTAACGTTACTATATATGCAAGGCTCTGTCTAGATCGCCAGTATTCTACAAAAGAAAATAAATTAAAACTAAGTATAGTAAATAAGAAAATACGTATTATTAGCAAAACTACTTTGTTTCTAGCTACAAAATTTGGCATTACACATGCGTTTTGATGCACAAACATGTGTGTCAAGAGAAGGAAAACCTGTTAGCCTTGAGTTGGCAGCCCGGCAACTTCCCCAAGAGCGACTTATCCAAAATCGTCCCTAAGGCCATTGAAGATTCAACACCTAAGCCGACAGCCGCCTACAGGCCACCAGGCGCAAAGAACAGACCTTCAACCTTCACGTTGCATGAACAGGAGAAACCTCACAAGCCTGGTGAAACGCCATCAGGTAAGTTATTATTTCCAGACCCAAAGACAATGGTCTTAAAAAGTAGGAAGACCAAAAATGCTTAATTGAAAGCTGAACCAAAACGCAAATCACTTCATCACATCAATTTAAGGTTTTGTTGTATATTTTCAAGTTAATGGTTGGACTACTGAATTGCTCTTACTAATTAATTAATACTCTTTATAGCTTTGATTTTTAATTTATTTATTTTTTTAAATTTTATTACAAACTATGTATTTCCGTAGCGGCGCCGTCAAAACAAGCGATCAAACAGAAGGAGAAGCGTGAAGCTCGGAAGGCGCGTAAAGCTGAGGAAAAAGCTCAAGGCGACCTCAACTCTTCGCCTCCCACGGCATCCGCTACGCCCAAACAACCATTTGTTTCAACAGGTGATCCCGAGAAGGATAAGAAGATTAAAAATTTAAACAAGGTTATTTTTATATTAACTTTCTAGGAAAAAATACTAAAATAACGTTTCATACATTTAGGTATCTCCAGAATGCAGAATAAAGTGGATCTGGTGAAGTGACTGGCAAAGTGTTAACACGGCAACACTGGCGGGTGTTGCGTTATTATGTGTTTGTGTTGTGTATGTAAAATCTGGTTTAACAACCAGCCACTGCATATGCATACTAAAATCATGAGATATATGAATAAAACTCTTCAGAGTTTGAAATTATTTTTTTAAAAATGTTCCAATCAGCATTAAAAAAAAATGTTAAACTAAAACACAATAAACAATAAAACTCATAATTAGATACTAGCTACAAAAAACGATTTACTCAATTGAATAAATGGTACTTAATAAGAAATATATATATGAATAGTCATTTTTTTTTGGCAGAAACTTAGTGACATCGAAAAATTGAAGCAGCAGAAAGCAGCGGGCAAGCAGCTTGAGCTGAACCAGCTCGCTAAGATCGAGAGTGAGTCGGGATTGCTACAAGAGCTAGCTCAGCTCAGGTTATGATCGTGCACGCGATGTTTGATAGATTACAACTCAACTACAACAATGTAGTCAGTTTAGTTTTAAGGAAAATTCTATACTTGCATACTAAAGTGTAACAGGTGACCTAATAAAGAATAAAAATATTTTATTACTCAACGTTTGGTGGTATAATGGCATAAAAGATACATTATAATTATCATAAACCTACCTTAAAAGACAAAATCTCTATGGATATGGCAGAGATTAAAAGTATTTATAAAAAAAAAGCTCTTATATCTAACATTATTAGAGACCAAAAGTATGAATTAAGATGAACTCTGACTAAAATAATATTAATATTTTTCATTCTTGATAAAGCTTTTTATTAGTTCAGCCTTAAAATTACTATCTCAGTTGGTAATGAGCTCTTACGTTAAAATTCAGGTAAGGTTAAGTAAGATAAAACATGAAAATCCGTCACTGGTGACGTCACCGTCTCTTACCACTACTTTATGTATGATGGGGAAGGCCAGAGCCCATATTTGGTTTTGCTTCGAGAATGTTCTGTATAAGGTAACACACTACTGTTTTGAAATGTTAGTCCTACCACTTTTGTACTACTGGCGAAGACGTTAGATGATTTGCGTAATAAATATTATATTTAAAAATTATTAAAAAAAAAACTATAAATCAGTAGTAACAGCTAAATTAGATAATCATTTCTTGTAAATTCTGGTATATCATTCATTATCAGTTGATATTAATGTTTTTCGTTTAATTAATTATTATTAAATAAACCAATTGTTTTATTTTCTTTATATTTAAGTCTAAGAAATCGCTGATGAATTTTCTTTTTTCTACCAACCACTTAACGGTTATCGATTTGTTAATTCTTAAACCTTTGATTAAACATGAATATATCTGATAGCTATATTTTTTAACGTTAAGTTTTATTTAAACAACCCAACACTACCCACAACCCAAGTGTTATTAGATCAGAATGAAGTATGTTCAACTCCTGGCAATTTGGCTTCCGTATAAAAAAATTTATTAATAAATTAAAACGTCCTAGACAGTCGTCTAATTCCAAACTAGTCAGAGCAGGATACCTTGACTCATAATCATGGTTATAAACTTCGAAACACATATAACAGATAAATTACTGACACAAAATAAGATCGTGCCCATGACATTATTATTTGCCCGGCGTTGAAATCGAACCTACGACCTTTAACTTAGCAGTCATTATCACAAACCACTAGAGGCTAGACTAGGCTTTTTTTGGTGTAACATAGGGTACGACTGGGCCCTTCGATGTTGCTCGCCCCCCGCGCTTGGTGTAATCTGTTATGCTAATAACACTAGTCACAGCCCGGGGGCGAACTTTCAAGAAGCGGCGCGACTGGCCACCACTAGTCTCTCTGGTGGTCGGGGGCATTGAGGCACTGAGCTTACGGGTGGCCCTGAATAAGACGGAGGCCCTCTTATTTCATGGGCCCCATCGTGGGCCCCCTCCCGGCGTCTCAATTGTGGTCAACTCAGTCCTCGTACCGGTTCAGATTCTCGACGGGAGGTGGCCCTTCTACGAGATCTTCCGACAGCTTGCTACAAAACTGGTCGGCGCTGCGTCTGCCCTTGGGCGACTTTTAACCAATTTGGGTGGACCCAGCGTCGCGACTAGAAGGCTGTACACGGTTGTAGTCAAGTCAATGGTACGGTGTAACGGTGTGGGCGGTGGTTCTGACAGCAGTGGGCAGGGCAGCATGGTACCCTTTCCTTCAGACTAACGCAGAGCAGTGCATTGCGATTGCAGTGAGCAATCGACTCAGCACACCCTGGCGATTTGGTCCTCATTGTAGTCATCGGAGGGGACCTCTCGCTTTCGGCCGTCATACGCTCCATGGGCCGGTAGTGACAGCTGTTTTACCGTGGTCGCATCCTTCTGCTAAGATGTCATCTTGAATGAGCCGGTGGAGAGGACCCGGGAGGATGATCTCCACTCGGACTTCAGTGAAGTATTTATTTTGTCTAAGTCTAATTTAAATAAATAAATATTTTTCGAACATTTAACACACATCACCATCTAGTTTCAAACTAAACAGAGCTTGTACTATGAAAGTTTGATTGACTTATTTACATACTTTTTTGTGTAAATACATAGAAAACACCCAAATGCCGAAACAAATATTTGCACATCATATAAACATTGGTCCGACCCATGAATTGATCCCGAGACCTCAACACAGCAGTCTAATACGCTACCACTGTACCACCGAAGCAGTCCTAATACTAACCTTACTATCAAAACAGTACCCTAAGGTGATAACGATAATCCTTTGATAGACCAGTCGTGATCTTGCTGATATCTAATTTGAATTTAGGAATTATGATACCTGATTACCTATTATACATATTCTCTAACGAGATGCTGGGTCTGAGTGATGTCGTATTTAACCTAATAACACAGCCTGTGTTGATTTTAACATTAAAAATAACGTTGGAATTAAATGTCAGTTATAAGAATTTTGAGTCAGATATTACAAAGTGACCTTGTATTAATCTACCAGGCTGGTTGCCAGACCCAAGTGATATTTCTAAGAAGCGAACCCGGGATCGTATGATCATACCCAACATATGTATGAACTATACCTACCATGAGATCATTAACATTTGATGCACATTGTAATCGCGTTCAACATTAAAAGTATTTTTCATTTAACAAATAATGGTATTTAGGTATAAATACAAGCTAATCATAGATTAATATAAGCTATAAACATTGGTATCATATATCAAAACATGCCCAATGGATGTTGGGATGAATAACTAGGTAACCTACCAAATAAACCTAATGCAGCTACCTACCTAGTTTCTGTCACTTTAGCATTTGTATTTCAAAAACTCGCGCCATCTGCATTATCTGCAATATTAAATGCCGTGCCGAGTAGGTATGTACTTATTAGCGTATGCAATTATATTCGATGTACCTACGAAAAATAGATTTTAACGAGAGTCAATGACATTTTGACATTTCTAATAGCCCTTTGGTATGTCGGTACTCAATAAGTTATGTCTCGAAAATGGCAGGTATCCAGGAAATTTTTATTTACATTTGATAAGATATCGATAATAAATTGATATATGCGGGATCGGTTTTAATTGTTACCAGTAATGCTCGATAGGTTCGGGTCTGTTGACACGCGATAACTGTGTTTACGAGATCGGTTAATATTGAAACGGCAGACAGAAACATCTAGTACATTAAGTATTTCATAGTTCAGGCTGATTGAGAGAAAATACAGCCAGCGGATATGGAGTGCGAAGAGGCCGACGAGAATACACTACTGTTGAGTGAAGTAGATGGTGAAAGGACTACAAGTGATTTATATCCGAACTGTGCGATCGCGGCTGAAACAGGTTCTGTAGAAACTATAGTGTTTAATAGTAATATGATGAAGACGTCCACTCATGCAGATAGTTTGGCCGCTACTTGGGGCGGGCGACGTTCCCTTCAGGACTCAAGGCGACTTCGTCGGGTTCGATCATGGTCAGGTGGACCGCATGACGACGGAGGCTCTGAAATAAGGATACTAAGAGAACGGTACAAAATAGTTTAGTATAAAAATATTTATTTGATGTTTGTGAATAAATAGTACTCGTAGTAGACTTAAGGAGGTGATTATTTAGAACACGTGTGAAGCCATAACTCTATCATGCTGCATAAATGGTAAAGATCCTTATCTTTGTTTTACCATTGTCCTTTTTATCTATAAGTAATCAACGTAAAGAAACTGTGTACTTAAAACTATTTGTTATCACACGTATAATAGTAATCAATAGTTGCTCTTAAAGTCAGTCCAATTCATCATATATAATCACGAATGAGTTCCATAATATGTACCTACTGTATAGGCATAAAACTCTAGACGTGTAAGAAAATTGAAGTAGTATAAAGTAATAATTGATTGTTCATTTCACCATTTCTGCTCTCGTTATTATTAAACTTTTATAACTTTTTACAGGCATAAATTTCAGGTGGATAGACTAACTTTGAATCAGTCAGTCTCGGTTATAGTCGACATAGAGGATGGTTAATTATCAAATCTGTTTCTTGTTAAATGAGTCAGACTTACCTCTTGTAGCCACTTATAACAAAATTAACTGTATGTTATGTACTTTACTATTTGCCAAGAAAAAGTAACAAAACTAGAGAAACAAACATCCTGAGTATGATTTATCATAATGAAGCGAACTTTAAAACAATATACTTACTGGAAAAAAGTTTATAAGTAATATGAAAATTCACTCTCTTCGTATTATGTCTATCAATTCATTGAACACCTGACAAAATTCAGTTTACGATTCACAGCAAGTGAACATATGGGACAATGTGTCTACAACTTCGTAATACCCATACACTACATATATTATATTTACCTACGTATAGATTGGTGCGCACACAGACACGATTGCAGCCGGGTGCTGTACGCCACTTGTCAAGGCGACAGAGGTTAACATTGGTCTCATTAGCCCTTGTAGACTTCATGAGCTTCTGCTCCATGAGTGTCATGGCACCGTTCTTCCCGCGGGAAGCTGCTATGAAAGGACTTTCAGAAACAATGTGTGGAATCGTTTTCAGTTTCTACGCAGTCGTCATGTTCCTAACATCACCCTTATTTGGAAAGTTCGTAAGTATATAATTTAAAATTGTGACCCAACTTTTTTTAGAAGTTTTAAAGTAAAATAATCCAAATGACAGTAAAAAGCTAGATTAAAAACCAGTAGGTGAACATGTTCGTGTCCCTAAAAATACAAGTAGATTTATTGACTCTGTATTCCTTCGATTTACATATTCTTACATAGATCTATGTAAAACTAACTTCTTCGGGGTTGCAAGGATGATTTTTCTCCATGTGAAACAAAGTTAGATGCTGGCGATTAAATATGCTGGAAATGGTTGTGAACCTATAGGCATAGGGTCCATATGGAAAAATAAGTATTTACTTTTCAATCAGAGAGCCTGCGAGACTACTGTTTTGGTTGCTAATATTTGTTACACATATGTAGTTCTAATACTAATTTCGTAATTAATGATATCTTGATATCGTAAATGTGTTTTTAGTTGAGAAATATTAATTTACGGACAATATAAATTATTTGTTACAGCTGCCAAAAGTGGGGGGAAAGTTTTTATTTACTGCAGGAATGTTTGTCGCTGGAGCTTGCAATGTGATCTTTGGGTAAGTTATTTATCGATTAATTATTAGTGCAATTGCAATATTATCTTTTAAGCTTACATTATTGGTCAAATGGATAAGTATTGTATATTTGAAATCATAAACTCTGCCAGTTGAATAAGGTCTCGTTAATAAACTAAATACAAATCATTGTAATCGATTGTTTACTTCACGCTTTGAGAATTAAATTAAGAAAAGAGAAAGAAAAAGAATTTAAAAAACCGGCCAAGTGCGAGTCGGTCTCGCGCACGAAGGGTTCTGTACCATTATCTATAAAAACGGCAAAAAAACATGTCTGTTGTATTGGAGCCCCACTTAAATATTTATTTTATTCTGTTTTTAGTATTTGTTGTTATAGCGACAACAGAAATACATCATCTGTGAAAATTGTAACGGTCTAGCTATCACAGTTCATGAGATACAGCCTGGTGACAGACGGACAGACAAACAGACAGACAAACGGACGGACAGCGGAGTCTTAGTAATAGGGTCCCTTTTTAACCTTTGGGTACGGAACCCTAAAAACAACTTAGGTATGATTGTCACAGTTTACATTTTTATAGTAAACGACCTCCTTTACCCCGTTTGTCAGATGAGGTGCTTGCCTGTTTCCACCACCAGACCATCTAAGCAGTATTTTACTAAAGTTTAAAATATGTAGATTTCTCAAATAAATTAGAAGCTGGAGTGTTTGGCCTACTATACCACGCTGGCCAGACGGGTTGGTATAGGTTTTGTTTCAAGTTTTCCTTCTCTTTGCAGTGCTGTTGTCCTGCTTAGTTTGCTCCCTTAGTCGGCTCTTACGACACCCACGGGATGAATTGGGGTGGTGACAATTTGTATTCTTAATCCGTCACCACACGGACAATATTAGTAACCAGTAACCGGAAACGGACCTAATTAGTAACCAGTTGGTTAACGTTGTCGAATAAGTCCAGTTTTAGCATTACCCTGGATAACTATTAGCACAGTTAACTGCAAAACTTATGACGTTTTAAGAGACTGAATAGCAACTCCCACTATTACTTAATAAATTTAGTTTTCTATATGTTGCCAATATGCCACTACAACCTAAAAGCAATTGTGCAATATCTCTACTAATATTATAAATGCGAAAGTAAATCGGTCTATTTTCTAAGCTTTCACGGCTAAACCGCTGAACCGATTTCAATGTAATTTTATATGGAGACACTTTGATTCTTGAGAAAGGTCATAAACTACTTTTTACCACGATATATGAAATACACGCAAGCTGAACCGCAGGCAAAAGCTAGTAAATAAGAATATGTTATTTTTAGGATGTTGTCACTCATAGAAGATACATTACAATTTACAATTCTCTGCTTCGTGGTACGAGGTTTAGAAGCTCTAGGTGCTAGCGCTTATTCTACAGCAAGTTACGTGTTCGTGGTGAACGCTTTTCCTGACAGCATCGGGTCCGTCTTAGGTATTCTTGAGACATTCATAGGTCTGGGTATGTCTGTTGGACCAGCCATTGGAGGATTCTTGTACTCGGTAATTATGTTTAACTATTATATTCATTACATTGTCTTTTTACAATGATATATTTCCATCCAGGATGGGCTTGTTGCTTTTTCGGGATATCCAGAAAACGAGATTGTTAAAAATAAAAAATAAAACTCAGTGGGTGACGTGTCTAAGTATTCAAATATGTATATGTTCCAGGTAGATCGGGGGCTTCGGTTTACCGTTCTACACCCTTGGCATAATCATGGTATTGACTGTGCCTATCAACTACTTCTTGCTCACTGACTGTGAAGGTAAGTTTAATAAATGTGTACAATATGTGCCAAAATATTCCTCTTTCTTATAATATTTGATTTCTTGTTTTAAATTTTGGAAAATTTATAGCTACCAGTGGAGGGAGTGGAGGGCAAAATCGAAGTGACTTTAACCATTCGGTGTGGCATATTGCGCCATAAATAGAGAGACATGTTATTTTTTAATTGAACGGCTTCATCTAGATATTTTTTGGTTATAGATTAATTCTATAACGAAATAATATCTAGATGATTATCTGGTGTGAAAGGACAGTGAAGAAGAGGACACATCGCTCTTTTCAACACAAAGTAATATAATATTAACAAATCTTTTCTTTCCAGGGCTAAACGATTAATGTTATAAATGCACTAATCATCACGAAAACTATCTTTTCACGATTCAGGTAGCCCCATAAGGGTATAGGTAAAAATATAAATTAAATTTTTTTTTCGCTTTTCAGAATACGTTTCGGGGTCAAAAACTGCATCGATTATCGGACTTTTCAAAATCCCATCTATTATAATAACAGGGCTGGTGATAGTTATAATGTCCAATACTTGGGCATTTCTCGATCCGACGCTGGAACCGCATTTACGTCAATTTGGGTTGTCGACAGAACAAATTGGTCTAATATTCTTGCTGTTTTCCAGTCTCTATGGGATTTTTAGTCCCATTTGGGGATGGGTGGCCGATCGGTGAGTTAGTTTGATACGATTCGATTCTAAATGATTACTTTATACTGCACTATTTTTATTCTATAATATAATTTATCTTTTTAGTAATTCTATAAAAACAAGGAATTTCAAAATGTAAAAGTGTAGGTACCTACGGCAGTAAACGTCTTAATGCAGAAAATTTACCAACGACTGATATTAGAATACAAGGGTTTATAATAGAATACAAGGTTTATGTATATGGTTTATGCATTGACTTTTCTGTGTCGGTCTGGGTGTTTATATAATGTGCATTTATTTATAATAAAACATTTTTGACAACACAACATAACTGATAAAAGTGGTTTTAGACAGCACTGTTTAATATGAGTACAATAAAAATTACATAAGATCATACCAAGGTCCTGGAGTAAAATCAAAGGGCCGCCAAACGGTAATATTTTTCTGAGTAACGAAACTATTAATATATACTCTGAAGGTGTACGTGCTACTGTGACCCGACCGTCAATTTATATGCACCAGGTGCTCAAGATACGTAAACACATACCTCCTAAAATAAGCACTTTTCTTAAAATTTTAAGACTGATTTTTATGTATGTTTTACGGAATATTGACAAAACCTAAAAACCAATAAAGATAGTTTCTGTCGGTAGTAACTTCTGCCAGACGCTTCTAAGTTTGCAAAATAAGCCACGTAAGCCAGTAACAATCTGGGTCTTAATGTTTATTTATGATATGTAGGGAACTATTTCAGTGCTATTTATGAGTAGTGAGAAAAATTGTGTCGGCATAACAATTCCCTACACATTTGTCGAGTATTAGTTACTGCAAAGTTATTATTTGTATCTCTATGCGCATCGAGTTCTCCCTTAATCTATTGCAGTCTGTTCTGTATGTATATTTAGTGTTATTTATCAGTTCGGGATATTTTTTTTAATTATATACTTGCACTTTTAAGGGTTAAAGAGTTAGGACCGTAATTAAGTCGTAAATTCCCAAACAAATTTTAAGAAAGAAACATGGTCATTGAGAATATCATATATATTTGTAATGTTTAAAACATGGCTGGTAGTAGGTTATATACCTATATAACCTTCTGAGTATTTGATATATTTCGTTACTCACTAAAACCCTGATGTGAAAACAAACTATAATTGATCTACTCATTTATAATTTATTTTTAAAATAAAATTTCAGTGTCCATAATCACTGGTGTATGATGGTATGGGGTCTATTTCTGTCTACAATAGGGCTACTACTTCTTGGTCCATGTCCGTTCATACCAGGATTGCCAAGGTAAGAGGATAGTGTTTTTTTTTTTAATAATTAGCTTGTTTATTACTACTAAAGTAATAAACAAGCCAATTATTGAAAAAAACCCGACTGTGTAAGAAGTTATACTTAAAATTTATAAACCAGTGTCACTCTCATAATTAAGAGGAATTAAACGACACCTCAAACGGCGAAATTCATCAAGCTGTTTAGGCTACAGAACGTGCTAAAAAAATAAACATACATACTACATACTCGAAAAACAACCCTCCTTATGACGTAGTTGGCTAAAACCGACTAAATGCTTGTCGGCAGTCGCGAAATGTATGTGCGCTCTGTAGTATTACTGCACATTTAAAACAAATAACAAGTATCATCTAAGTATTTTAAGGATTGTGTATTGTGTATGATATATATGTATACAATATATACTACAATCTATACTACTATTTTATTCGGACCGTTCAAACCATCAAGAAAAAAACCTACTCCTTCCTAAACAGATAGACGAACATGTTAAGTGACGAGTATTTAGCTCGATGCACCTTTATACATAATATTCTCAAACAAATACATCGCCTAAGCGAAATTACGTTCGTTATGTGATGATATGTCGTACGTTAAATAGGACAATTCTGACAACCTTGGTAGGTCAGTCTTTCCTATTTTTATTCTCATCCTATTATTTGTTCTGTGATAAAGGATGTACTAACCGGTAGCGCTACTAATATTTGTGCGCTTCCAAACTATCTAACGGGTCTACCAATAGGGATGACTTGGTTTTGACAGCTCATAGCGGCCATGTTTGATGATGGATCTTTGACGTCTCTTGACATTTGTGTTCAGTAAGGTTTGCCATTTTATCAACTATAACTCAATGTTAACCGAATATTTCTTTCCGGAATTTGATGATATTAATGCAGACTTTCTTTTGGGGTTACGTTAAATCTAAAGTGTACAGCAATAATCCAGCTACAATTCGTGACCTAAAAACCAACATTCGACGAGCCATAGCCAACATACCGGCCGAAATGGTGCACCGCGTCATCGAAAATTGGCGTAAGCAGGTGACCGTCTGCAAAAAGAGCCGCGGCGGTCATTTGGCCGATATATTATTTAAAACATAAATTGCATAAAATTATCTATCAAATAAATCAATCGGATGCATTTTTCATAAACAATTGTGTGTTTTATTCAATTTTTAAACCAGGACGTTCTTATTGGTAGACCCCATAGTTTTGTACAAACCGGTAGCCGTTAACGCTTATCGTTCAATCAGCCGTATCCTCGTTGGCCAATTTAGTGAATTTTTGAATCAGTCTTGTGTAGTTAGCCTTGCCTTTCTTTTGTAATATATGTGTTAAGAAAAAGTAACGAATATATTTTTTTTAAACCATTAGAGTTTATGTTAGCACCACTGAATGATCCATACTTAGTTTCCGTATTCTAGAATTTAATTTATGTAGGACATAGTTCTGGTATTCTTATACAATACAAAAGCCTTTTGTATTGACGTGTCTATCAGTATACTCAAATAATTTTATCTTATAAGTCTTACTTAATTTGGCATTTTATGTTTTAGACACCTGTATTTGGATTTAGCAGCTTTGTCAATTTTGGGAATGTCCGTGGCTTTAACGCTTTTGCCAACCTTCCAAGGGGTTCTAACAAGTTCCATGTGAGTATTATTTCACAGACGTCTCAAGTATCGGTTGAACTCTGAATTGCCTGAAAGTAGTTTTAAGTGCAGATCAAAACATAAGTATCGATCTTATTATAGAATGCGTTTTAAGTTTTACTCCGTTGAAATTAATTTCATTTCAAGTATTGATTTTTCTCAATTACGTTGCCGCATGATTGACATTAATATTCCATAGTACGCAGTTAATTATTTAAAAAATAATTTTCTGTGAATTTGTTTGTATACGTGAATCTAGCCTTGTTTTTTGTCGAAATATTATTTACTCAGGTATAGATTTTGACTTCTAGGGTATACCTGGTTCCCCGGCTATTAGTACCCGAGACGGCGAGCGGTTTTAGTCGGTTCGAGTCCGACATGCCACCGATAGGTGATATCCGAGGGGATTTCCGCACGGAAAAAAAAAGGGTAGTTTCATATCACACACATCACCAGTCTTTAATACTCCACTGCTGGACATTACCACTCCTTAGAAAGGAGGTTTTGGCCTACTGTACCACGCTACCCAAACGGGTTAGAATAGGGTCTGCGCAATTTTTTGGGGTCGTCTTTATCGTGCATCGCGACAAGTTCTCCGCGCGTTGTCCCTTGGTCTGGTGGGACGCTTGGTCTGTTTGAGAAGGTTCTCTCTCTCGCATTGTCCGGCACTACTGCGAGGTCCCCGGCCCCCTGGGCTCCGATCTATCCGACATCCAATTCTGTTTTCGAGCGGGGCGTTCGACGATCGACGCTGTGTTCTCCTACTCCTTCCTAACCTCGCCTCAGGACCGTGACCGAAAAGTCGGAGAGTTGTGTTGGCATGCTGTTGGCGGTGTCGATGGACATCGCCAACGCATTCAATAGTCTGCCATTCATCTGCATCAGGGAAGCACCCCACTGTCACGGAGTGCCAGAGTACCTGATGCGGCTAGTGCCAGACTATTTAGAGAAGCGTACCGTCATGTACCTACGTTATATATGTTACGAGGACCGAAATGGTGTTTAGTGTGGTCGGCCCGTGTCGTGCGGTGTTCCACAGGAGGTCTGTTCTCAGACTTATAATCATGTTTATAAACTTCGAAACACATATAACAGATAAATTACTGACACAACATAAGATCGTTACTTTACATAATTATTTGCCCGGCGTTGAAATTGAACCTACGACCTTTACTTATCAGTCAGTATCACAAACCACTAGGGGCTAGACTAGGCTGTTTTTGGTGTAACATAGGGTACGACTGGGCCCTTTGATATAAATTTCCCCCCCGGGCTTGGTGTAATCTGTTACGCTGATGACACTCTATTTACAGCCCGGAGGGAGAACTTTCAAGAGGCGGCGCGCTTGGCTACCAGTCGGGAGTAGGTCTGGTAGTCGGGCGCATAGACGCTCTGGGCTTATAATTGGTCCTTAATAAGACGGAGGCCCTATCATTCCATGGCCCCGTCGTGATCCATCCCCCGGCGCCTTAATCGTGGTCAACTCGGTCCTCGTACCGGATTAGGCAAAGATGAAATAGGCCTGATCCTCGAAGAGAGGTGGCTCTTCGACGAGCACTCCCGACAGCAGATTTTGGAGCAATCCAAAGCTGGTCGGCTATGCGTCTGCCCTTGCCCAGAGGATATTGGCGGTTAGAGCTATACGTGGTTACCGCACGGCGGCATGCGCGTTGGCTGGAACTCCCCTGTGGGATTTGGAGGCGAAAGTGTTCGCCGAAGTATATCGGCTAACGGCTGAGTTCCTGGCGGGTAGCGGCGATTCCGAAGAAGTACGCGAGGCCGCTCACTGAGCCACGATGGCTCGTTGGTCATCCCGACTGGAGGCTCCACATGATAGTTTTGCACTCCGCTGGAGGCGCGAGGAGGCGACGTGCTCGTATGGCGTACTTCGTCTAAATAGAGAATTTACCGAAAGTATGTATCCACGCAGTACCCGGATTCCTCCTATTACAGGCGCAGAGTGGCACACCGTGTGGTTTTAGTCGGTCCGATTCCGGCACACCACTCCCCCGTAAACCCCGATGGGTAGATGAAAAAGGGTTTGTGCAAGTTTTCTTTCTCTTTGCAGTGCTGTTGTTTAAATTAAAAAATATATTATAAAAGAAAAAAAGCTTATTGTGGATAAGAAATTTAAGATATATACGACGACTATTGTACAAACTTGATATGACAACGTACAACGTTGTATAATCACGCATTTTATATTACTCTGAGATATAGGGAGACCTGAATTCATCCTAAAATTTTTGTTTTATTTTATTCAGGGTTGAGGGTGGTTGTCCAGAGGCTCTGACGACTTACAGTGCAGTAGCAGGTGTGTGGTCATGCTGCTACTCGCTGGGTGAGGTGCTTGGTCCAGCTGTTGGCGCTGCGATCACACAACAGTACGGCTTTCCATTGTGTGCTACTCTTTGTGCCTCAGCCTGCTTTACTATGGTCAGTTTATACACAACTTAAGGCTCAGTTTTCGAGCATGACACAAATATGCCAGAATGCCCCCGACAGCGCCTCGTTATTAGGGGTGACACTTTGTACTCTTTATCCGTCACCATACTGACGTAGTAGTTGAATGTAATAGCGTTCTTTTTCAAATTATCTTCTCTCTCTGTCTTGACTCAAAGATCTAACCTTAAGTAGGAAAAATGTTTTTATATATTAGTCCCTTTAAGAACCTTTAAAAATTATGATAGGTAATTTTCATTGGAATGACCACGTTGTTTGCACACCATAATCTTTAAAATGCTGCATACGAGTATATGTTGCATTGACAAACAAGCACCTTTTTTATTAACAGGCGATAATAACTCTTACATTCTTTACACTACGCGATTCCCGCAAGAGAGCATTCTTATCCAGCAGCGCTTGCGACTCTATCCCCTACACCGACACTACGTGGAACAGTAACCATTTCTGTCGAACTAGAAGCGCACCGCATACTTTCGCCGACAACTCACCTTTGCTAACACCGTGCTCCTGTTATAAAAATCACAGTATGTATATTACTTCCGCCTTTTATATTATTTTTTATGGTATATTAGGCAAACGAACAGACAAATCACCTGGTCACCTGATGGTAAGGGACTGCCGCCGCTCATGGATCCGCTCAACTCAAGATACACGGTTGGTCCTCCAGTAAATTCATCTGCTAGTTGAAAAGCAAGAAAATAATTTGGTATCGCCGGTTTTCTGTGAGACCGTAGTAAAACCCCGATCCGAAGCATTACTTAACATCATATCACCAACAGCCTTTAATAGTCCACTGCTGGACAAAGTCCTGTCCTTAGAAAAAAGGTTGATATATAATAATAATAAGAACGGGTTGATATAGGGTTTGTGTCAAGTTTTCGTCCTTTTTTCAGTGCTGTTTTGCGCCCTTAGTAAGCTCTTACGACATTCACGGGATGAATAGGGGTAGTGACCGTCCGTCGTCCAAAGCATGACCCACGGTAAATGTAATGTACACCATCCTCTCTCGTTTGATTTTTTTCAGAATATATAGGTGTATCTAACCACAGCCAATGGTTGTGCCTAACGTAGTTAATGTTAAAGTAGACTGCAGACTTATTTTAACAGGAAAGAAGTCAAGATCGAAGTCACACATCTCGTTGTCTTGGATTTCTTGAGATAACCTTTAATTTTTGTTCTATTGAGTATGTACATTTATTCAGTTTAAAAGTTATTTCCAGATTTCACATACGGTACTTCCCCACCAATGCACGTCTGTCTCACACACAGTAAGAGTAACAAAAGTGGTTCAGCTAGTGTCGCTGACGTCATCGCATACATCCTCAAGTTCGAGTTCGTCATCAATATGTACATACGTATACGTAGGTCTAGGAAAAAACCGCTGCCAGCAGCAGTGCCAGTCACTACTGACCAGCTTTATCAGAACTACATCGAAGAAGAAATTGAAGACCGACATGAATCCAATGGAAATGGTCACGTGACATGTAGAAATGGTTCTATAGATATTAATAATAGTAAAAACGATAAAAATAGTAAAAGTAGTGATAATTATTGTAATTATTTAGATGAAGCAATATTTGGAAGTCCAGTTATTTTAAAGAATGTCACCATGGATAATTTGAAAGTTAAGAAAAACAGTACGGGGCTCGTTGCCAAAGCTATAGTCTGTGACGAGGAAAAGAGAACTACAAATGAAATCATAAAACATAATATTGAGAAGGTTCATTTCTACGAGCAAGATGAATGTCCGACCTATGAAGATATATTTGTAAGTATTTTTTAAATTGTAGCATGAATAATGCTTAAACTTTCGTGTTCCACAATATACAATTATTGGTGACGCACGGGAAATAACGCGAATAATTGGCAGACTGACTGTCCGCCGGTATCCAAGGCCAGTAGATACATTCTGGTCTAGTCGTAAGGCAATTCTAAACTATGTAATACCTATTAATTGTCTTAATTCCTTTTCGTTATTAATAGGTAATTATATCATGTATCACTTATCAAAAATTTACACAGACGTCGTGTCAGCAAAATTTCTTTAAATGTCTCGTTAAGAACAGTTTGGTCCATTTTCCATTAATTTTTTTAAGTGTTACGTATATTAATTTAATGAAAATGAAAATGAAAATTTACACTCGTATGAACATCCTTGAGAAATCTGTTACTTAAGAACTTGCAAAGTATTAGATTTTTTAAATATGATTAAACTACTACTTTTAATACACCAAAAAAATCAGAAAATACAGCTATTTATTTCCAATGTTTGGTATATAGATATAGTGAGTTTAGATGTACTTAATATACTTAGATCTAAAGATCAGCATATTTCTCAAAAAGCTTACTTAGCTATACACAGTTACGCACTTAACGTAGAGTCCTGTCGTGTTTTTTTTAGACTTAAGTTTAGCTAGATCATCGATCGTAAACCAATAGATGAATGTTCAACAAAAAAAAATGGTGTCATTTCTACATAATTTGTATTCTGTATTCATTTTAAAATTTGTAAATTAGATATGTATAATAATAAAATAAGCCGGAATGGAACCCTTAGGGCGATAGTCTAAATATCGTATATTTATCAAAGCAACTTATTTAAAGTTATTTGATTTCATTCGTATTATTGGTTTGTAATGGTATGTCACGTCGCTTACTTGTCGCATACTCTAGGACTCAATCGGATTAGCTCAAGACCGAAACCCATTAAATTAAATGCAATACCAACGGAAAACTTGCTAAAAATAGAAAATCAGTAATAGTACGAGATCCCGCTGCAGGATTGGTGCGTTCATCGATTTTTTGTTTAAAACCAAATTTTTATGTTTATTTATAATTAGAAGAATATACATTTACTAGGGTGCCTATCAAAATTTGGCCGCATTATTTTTAATTAAATTATTTTTAACTGATTTTTGGTTAAAAATTTCGTTTATTTATTTTTTAAATAAAATAACGTCTACATCACGGTAATTAATATGAAGATTCTAAAAAATCACGGTTGCCGTTGCGCACCTGGCCGCACCTCTTTGCAGCCTGGTGTAAACAGGTATGATTTCGATAAATTTATACGTTTATAACGTATATTTATTAATTATATGTCAAATTGAAGCTAATTTTTTTCTATTAATTATCATATATGGTTGCTTAATTAAATCTGGCCGCAAATAAGGGTTACTGGCTGTTAAAGATGATAAATATTTAAGGTAGAGTGAAAGAGAGTTAGCGCGTAACGTCATTTGTCAGACAAGGACAGCGGTTGCCGGCTGTGCGACGCTTTTAAGCCATTGCGCATGCGTAGAATGTTAGTGTTCTCAACCACCGGGGAGTAATAGAGAGGACTTATAATATTTATCATCTTTAACAGCCAGTAACCCTTATTTGCGGCCAGATTTAATTAAGCAACCTTATATGAAAATTAATAGAAAAAAATTAGTTTCAATTTGACATATAATTGATAAATATACGTTATAAACGTATAAATTTACTGGCTGTTAAAGATGATAAATATTATAAGTCCTCTCTATTACTCCCCGGTGGTTGAGAACACTAACATTCTACGCATGCGCAATGGCTTAAAAGCGTCGCACAGCCGGCAACCGCTGTCCTTGTCTGACAAATGACGTTACGCGCTAACTCTCTTTCACTCTACCTTAAATATTTATCATCTTTAACAGCCAGTAACCCTTATTTGCGGCCAGATTTAATTAAGCAACCATATATGATAATTAATAGAAAAAAATTAGCTTCAATTTGACATATAATTAATAAATATACGTTATAAACGTATAAATTTATCGAAATCATACCTGTTTACACCAGGCTGCAAAGAGGTGCGGCCAGGTGCGCAACGGCAACCGTGATTTTTTAGAATCTTCATATTAATTACCGTGATGTAGACGTTATTTTATTTAAAAAATAAATAAACGAAATTTTTAACCAAAAATCAGTTAAAAATAATTTAATTAAAAATAATGCGGCCAAATTTTGATAGGCACCCTAGTAAATGTATATTCTTCTAATTATAAATAAACATAAAAATTTGGTTTTAAACAAAAAATCGATGAACGCACCAATCCTGCAGCGGGATCTCGTACTATAATACACATCTACACATACCTCATACTTTAACACACACTTGTGCGCGCACAAACACACACAATACACACACGCACGCTCACATAAACATACACATACAACCACACACACATTTAAAAACAAATACTACACATTTTAAATTCAGTTACCCGTTTTGTCTCTGTTCTAATATTTTTTGTAATATTCTCTTAAATTTTAAGTGTCATCTTTGTACAGTTTATACATATTTTTTCGCGGATGGAAGCCCGGTTATCCATAGCACAAGTATTTTACATAGTTTGGAAACCAGTCTCCCACTATTATGTTATGACAACTTACATATACATCTGTTTATATTGTAATAAGGGAGAAATAAACATTTATTATTATTATTAAAAAAAATACGATCATCCGCGAAATTTTAGTAGTACACTATACTATCTGTGCTACTAATTCACTTATATTAATGCCGATCTGTATTTGCAGGATAGTTGCGAATGTAGAGATGGAGTCACTTACGCAAGAGGCACAGTCACCGTCTCCTCTACAGGCGCATGCGAAGTTTAAGACCGAAGTTTAAATTACTCTGTAGACATTACATTACATTCATAAGATTTTCTTAATAAATTAAAATTTTGCTAAATTCTTAAGTCTTTGTTTAGTGTGAAAAACTGGTATTTAGTTAACTCGATTCCTAATAGACACATATGCAGGCCGCAGGAGACCATTATAATGAGTATTATATAACAAAAATAACTCTTCCCAAATTGATTTGATTACGACATCCCATAAAAAACGTCTTTTAAGTAGTTCGCTTCGAATAAGCTTCGCTTTTGTACTTCAGGGGAGTTTGAGTACTTGTTGTGTGAGCGGCCCTGTTGCTCTAGTATTCTGTACTTGTTAATAGTTGCCCGATTAAAAAAAACTATCCTTAATAGTTGCACGTTTGGTGCAACGATAAGTCTCAAAAATCTTATTTTATCAACTTTATGAAACTCATATACCTTCATCAAATCGGTGATTGACTGAGTAAATATGACTGTATTTAAATTTAATCTTTAATATTTATCCATTCTCCATGTTAATTTTCAACGTCATCAAATCATTTGATATGATTGTAAGATGCTATTTATTATTTTGACTAGCCCGTTAGTTTAGTAGATTGCGATTCTGACTATCAAACCAAAAGTCTTAGGTTCTATTCCCACCCATGACAAATAATAGTGTGACGATCATTTCATTCATCACGAAATATAAAAGATATTCTGTGTCTGGGTTTAATTTGTCTTTAATATATAATATATACATATTATGTATTTAGAACAGCAGTTTGGTTACCATAAGACAGGGGATCTGGCGAATTTGGTATTAAAGAGCCGTGAGATGTGTCAACTTATTATTATTTTTATATTAAACAATTACTTAAAACTCCACAAACAAACACAAAACATTTACATATGTATTGATGGACAAGAAGCAAGTCACAAAAGTAAGTAAAGAGTAAGTAAGTAAGTAGCGCGTTAAGTAGCGCCTAGAGTTTGAAAATAGCAAAAATATTTTCCGAATTGCACAAATCACTAGGATGACAGAACATATCAGGAGTGCTTTTCGCCAAACTCTGTACTGTATTTGGAATTTCCGTGGTTACACTACTTGTAAAATATGTTTTCCTAGTACAAACGACCTCTGTTGACGGTTTTGCGACATTAACATCGGACGACAGCCTTGACCAGTGTCCACTACGGAAATATATATGAAAAACCTGAAAAATCTCACTGTGGTTAGTTATTAAGCTTCGATAAGAATACTATGAACAAATAGACAAAATGCTGTTAATTACGGCTTTTAAGTCGGACTTGCAGACCAATTCCAAACACGTTTATACCAAGAAATCATAAGTTTATAAGAACTTGACTGTCATTTTTCGACGCGGTAAAATCTTGAAAATTTAAAAAAAAACAGTGTTGTGCAAAATAATATTAACCGGTCGTGGTTATTGTAAAATTAACAAATAATGTCACCTACATATGTATGCTTTTTTAACCGACTGCAAAAACACAAAAAAAAGGAGGAGGTTATCAATTCATCTTTCTTTCTTTCTTTTTTTTTGCATGTTTGTTACGCGATATCTCCGTCAATTGGTGACCGATTTGCAAAATTCTTTTTGTGATCGAAAGGGTATGCTCCCAAAGTGGTCCCATTACCACCAAATCAGGATCTGATGATGGAATCCTAGAGGAATCAAAGGAAACCCTCAAATTTTACAGGCTCGACAACGTGTTTTAGCTTTTTTCTCTTGCTTTATAGGTATTTGCGTTTAGTAGTCGTTATGTCATGTTGCTGAGCTGATGATGGAAGGATCCTTGACCTTTAGGAGTTAGAAAATAATTATTTTAAAAATCTAATCATGTATTGACCTTGTTTTATTCTTTCAAGATATTTGTTGGGTGTTTGTGTTGAGTTACAGAGATAATAATATATAATAATATTCTACCACATTCAAACAACGCCATCAAGATGGCGTTGTGTGAATGTGGTAGAATAGTTTGGGACTAGTCCTAAACTAAGCAAAGCTTGTACTAGGGCTACTAGACAACTGATATAAATACATATATACTTTTTTTGTAAATACATACTTATTACATATAGAAACACCCAGACCAAATCAAACATTAAATGCTCATACACACAAATGTTTGACATGATCGGGAAGGACCATTGGAATAGCAGTCCGTTACATAAACCACTACGCCCTGCGGTCGTCATATACATGAAGATGTAGAGATATGTGCACAAAAGAGTAATATTTATTTATTTAACTTAATGCACAAGTTGTACACAGGCGGACTTAATATATGAGATTACAAAACATTAAGACAAAAAAAAGTTTGTTACTCAATTATTTTCATGTTTGTTACCTCAAAACTCATTCATTTGTAAACCTATTACATTTTTTTTTTATTTGGAAGGGTATATTCCCCCTTAGTTCCATTCAAATGTGAAGAATTATACCACTCCTAGTTTTGTAAAAATACGTAATGTGGAAAACAATATATTTTCGGGTTCAAATGTAAGATCTGACTACCTTTTCTTAATAAAGTACTTAATTAAATTAATAAAGGACTTATTTAACTATATTTAATATAATCTAACATACTACAGTTTGTAACTATAAATTACGGTATGTAGTATTTTAAATATCGTACTTATCGACTCACTACAAACATGTCTTACACAAAACATGGTCTAAAACTAAAGAGGCCTATGTTCAGCATTGGACTGTTAAAGGTTGTTGATATAGATGAAAATAATGATAATTTAACAATGGTTTACTTCTTTGTCCAAAACAGCTATTAAACATTAAGAATTAAATTGAAAGTCTGAAGAACATTAATTAAAATCAATATATGTTTATTTATCGCATAAACTTTGATTACAACAGAGCCCAGATGTCGGGGACGTGAAAATTGTGGAGTAGAACAGATACGGCGACCATAACACCAGGCAAGCATACAGTTACTAGATATTGACAGTATCGCGTTGCATTAATAAATTCAATATTTTTAGCGAAACAGATCACACTTGACCATAAATTTGCACACACAACGATTTATCAGCCCTGCTGTGTTTTCGCACACACTAATATCTGTTACAGGATTGGACATTGATAACGAGGGTTGGGGAAATATCGAGGGTGCAACCCTCCGGATGGCTGGAGCGAGATAGAGTATTTTCCTTGTCTGATTCCTACATCCCTTTATATTCTGCTACCCTGGTATTTCGTACACTTAGGTTATGTAAGGATATTATTTTAGAATAGCAAAATATGAACCTTGCTTTTAATATGTGAGGGGCAATATTTATACTTCTTGTCATTTTACACACTATTAGGATATTTATTAAGATAAACATTTCAAACTTTTACTTACAATCATGACGCAACAATTTAACAATTTCATGAGGATTTGAATATATTATATTGTCTTCGGCATCGAAAGTCAATCCGAAAATATTTTTAATACTAGCGATTTCAATCAATACATGATTACTTTTGTCCGCAATATAAATTCCATTTTTAGCGCAGAAATACGCAACGCCCTTATGGTTTACTTCAATTGCTCTGAATACTTTAGGACCACTATAAGGAATGGTTTTATTACTATTACTTTTTATTTCGAACAAACCCTCTTTGGTGGTTATAAATGTATCGCGTTCTCCATCTATCACAAACTGATATATTTTCTCCTTAATATGTTCGTGATTAGTGAAGTTCTTCTTTTCGATGTCATATACATGAAGATGTAGAGAAGGATATTCTATAAAATACAACTTATTTTCATGATAGAAAATATCCCATATATCTTTATTTTCAATAATGTATTTTACTCCTTCGAATTTCGTTAAATCAGCTTGATAGACTCCGTCATTTCCGCCAAAGTATATTTTTTTATCATGTCTGTTGACGGCCAAGGCGAATCCATTTTTTATGCCATGCACTTCGGTTGGCATTGTATCATGTTCTTTGACGTAGGCGATTCCGAACGTGTCCTTTGTGTCTTCACCGACATTGTAGCTGAAGAATAATTGGTGCTGGGGGTCGTACATTGCAAGTTGGTACGGTCGATTAATACCATTCATAAGAATCCGTTTTTTATGAAGCGTACCATTAACCGTTACACCTTCACACCCTAACTTTACTGTAACCTTTGAAGGGTTCTGTATCGTTTTGCTATTTGAAATTGCAAAAACACACAATATTAAATATATAAATAGTTTCATTATTCCCGTAGATCGTCTATTCAGTTGTTGAATACAATCAATACTAATTTCTATCGCTAAAATTTAATACGAATAGATAACTTCTTAGTTATAGCAACATGTTTCAATGAAATGGAATATGGCACAAATTAATCAAATGGAAATAAGGTCATATGAATAGCAATACAGACGCGTATATACGATTTTAAATTTAGTACCTACTTATTGGGTTGTGATTTATAGCTACCTATATTACTAGTAAAGTTATATTATGAAGTGTATTTGTATTTTTATTAAATGTACCTACATTTAGGATCTAGTTGTCACAAGTCTAAGTTATAGATCTAAAAAATAGTTCGATTTATTTTTATTTTAACAAACTTTCTTTGTTTTCTCTTTAATTTAACGGAGTCAAAGGAGTTATTTCTAAAGTAGTCATGTAAAATCTAATTTGAAAAATACCGAACTAATGCTATTCTTTATTGAATTTAAATAGGTTTAAGAAAGCGATGCCACATTATGTAGAGGTATTTGGCATAGAAAATGTATGATTCTATACACCTTTTCTTTTTTCCGTGCGGAAATCCCCTCGGATACCACCTATCGGTGGCATGTCGGACACGAACCGACTAAAACCACACGCCGTCTCGGGTACTAATAGCCGGGGAACCAGGTATACCCTAGAAAGGAAGACCCTGGTGCCCCGACATATGATTCTACACACCTGCTTTCATATCAAACATAAATGGATTCCGATGGCTTCGTAATGTCGAAAGTACAGTAATAAACAGACGTAAAAATCGTATGGAGTTACCCCTTTCACGCTTCATAGATTTCAGTGTGGGTGGTTCGAATGATGTCATAGCTGTATTACTGAACTGAAACTTAAACATCCCTTTTGCTGAAAAACCAACCGTATGAGTATAACTCCAAAGCTTAAACTGCTCTGTTGTTTATTAAATTGGATTGACAACGTTTACAATCGTAAACAATTTGTTGGATTTGTGAGATGACCTTGAAATGCTCTGAGGTTTTATTTTTATCTATTTTAAATAAGCTATGTAAGGTTATTTGAGCTTACTTTTACTTCAATCCATATCTGAGAAAAGTCGGTAATGCCCCATTCGTCTCTTTTTATGTGTTTGTGCCGTTTACTGACATCTGAGTTGATTTGATTCCTTTTTTGTTCAAACCTGCATTCCAGACAGATGATGATTTAATGATTATCTAATAATATCTAGAAATGTGTTACGTCTTATGAGGATGTACCTGTTTTTTGTAGACGGGGTGGAAAATCCCTTCGGATCTCCGGCTCCTTGAGGACATAGGAGCCAGGAGTATATGGTGTTTCCACTAAAAACCACTTCAACTGCCGGTCTCAAGCGCCCTGTATAATTTCTTCACTTTTCATCACCTTTCTGTTATACAATAGTTCTTGTAGTTACGAAACGGCCAAGCCACAGATTTTGACTAAAGTGTAGATAGAGCTTGTGAAGTTAGGGCGTGTAGAGTTAGAAACTTAGTTCTCAGCGTCTTAGCAACATTTTACATGAAAATGTTTTTAGTGGGGTACTATATGCTAACGTTGACATAAAAAATGGGGGCCTGGGTGTCTTGGCTGTCAAACTCAAAACTAAAATTGTTCCCTCGTATAAAGACCATTCGGGCTTTGCACTTTGATTTTATATAATATAACTAGCTGACCCGGCAAACGTTGTATTGCAAAACAAAAGAAAATTAGGGATGGGTCACCCTTACCATTTAGGGGTATGAAAAATAGATGTTGGCCGATTCTCAGACCTACCCGATGTGCACACAAAATTTCATGAGAATCGGTCAAGCCGTTTCGGAGGAGTACGGGAACGAACATTGTGACACGAGAATTTTATATATAAGATGTATCTCACACATCTCACACGCAGACGTCTGATCCCAAACTAGGCAGAGCCTGTACTATGGTAACCAGACTGCTGATAAACATACATATATATTTTTTAAATTGATACATATAGATAAATTACACCCAAACACAGAACAAATGACCGTGCTCATCACACACTATTTGTACTGGGTGGGAATCGAACCCACGACCTCCGGTTTAGCAGTCAGGGTCACTAACCACTAGACCAACAGGCCCCTTGTATATATGCGCGGATGCCTGAGTTTGTTTCGTAATTTGAAATGGCGATACCATCTAGCTCTTAAGAATTGTCTGCTGTATAACTGTATGCAAAATAAATTCATTTATCATTAATATTGCTTATTTTAAGTCTTAGTAGAAAAATGAGAAGAGAGCTGATTCCACATGTTAAATACTCAATACTTTATTGCACACCATAACGTTACAGAGATGTTACATTGGGTTATACTCGTACAGTGCGTTATGGACCCTGTCGGGCACGGCAGTGTAGGAGAGAGGATAAGGTCTTGTGCTTAGCTACCTTATACTTAATTATAATATTTATTTACATATTTAGTAAATGTGTACCCATATGATATAAATGTATTATTATTTACTTAGGCTTTCTTTTATTTAATTAGTATTCCATTATGTAATTATATATTTTTATAAAATTGCTACAAATTATTATGTACGTCTTTACAGTGGTTCTTTTAAACAAAACATGTGTAAAATTATGTTTAAAAAATCTACGACGTTAGATTAGAAAATACAAGAGTGCACTTAACTTTTGGTACTATTATGAATCAAATTTTATTCGTAGACTCTATTAAAGTAAAGGTAAATTATATTGTAATTACCTGTGCTTGACGCCAGTTAAATAATTATATGACTTGATTCGGAATATTTTTCACTCGAGCTTCTCAAAATGTAGCCCACTACTACAACTATTTATATAACTTTTTTGATTCTGCACATAGCTGATCATGTAATCTATGCTTCCATACTTTTGTTATAAATGTGAAATTGAGTTTGTTTGTTTGTAATGCTTTCACGCCTAAACTAATTACCTGATTTTAAAAATTCTTTCAGCAATTGATAGCTACATTTTCAACTAATAACATAGGCTACATTTTTACTTTTACGTGGGTGAAGCCGCGGGCAAAAGCTAGTAATTCACAATTGAATTAAATCTTGTTGATTGCTATGAATATGTTATTAAACTCTTTTTTTTTTAGAAAACAATATGTAACGAGGTTATTAGTTTATAAAGACATGGCCGTTTCGTTGATTTTTAATTAGTTTTATGTTGTTTCAGGCATTTTCGTTACATATATGTATCTTAAAGGAATAACAATTGAAAAAATCTTAACAAATAAATAAGTGACGGTAGTAGTCGAACATGGACTTATTTTTGACACATCAATCTGATCTTAGCTTAAACTATGATGTCTTTGTTTTTTACCGTGGTCAGTGTGTTCTCTACCTATAAATTTAGAATAGTCTGAAAAAAATGAGATTAATTAGGATAGGTCGTAAGTAATACGGATTAAATGGACGAAAATAGTCTAAGGTCACTGAAGCTTGCTTAACAATCAACAAGGCTTCTGCGCACGTGAGAAGTTGAAATAAATCTAACACGTCCGTGCTAAATTTATGACAATGTAGGTTTTCTATGTTATTGTCACTGGTGATTCTAAACTTGTAATAAGATTAACACTTTAGTGATAATTTGTTCGCTTTGTGGCAGTAAACTTGCAATTCACTTTATGTTGTTTAAGGAACAAGTAAAAAAAATGTTTTTGACAATGAAATACTCGTATTAAAAGATACATGATACACACTTTTAGACCAAATGAATAAGGTTCACGAAGACCCAACTACTGTCTGTCACCGATACGACCGTTAAGAAGAGAGCTTACTCCTTCCTAAAAGGCCGGCAACGCGATTGTGAGTTGCAGACGTTCATGGGCGGCCGTAGTTACTTTCCACCAGATGACCTACCGATATCTACTCGTTTGCTACTATAAAATATATTATCGCAGTGCTTCTAACATGGCCAATGTAAGATTACATGTTAAAAATCTAAACAGCTATAAAATTCCAATGTTAATTAGGTACGCTATAAGTTTACTTACACAAATCTATTCACATATATTACTAGCTGAGACCCGCGGTGTTACTCGCGTTTGTTGTTATAACCGCGGACAACGCCGCGGGGCGAAGCTAGTCTAAAAAAAGTAGCCTAAGTTACTCCCTATGTCATCAGCTATCTGCCAGTGAAAGTCCCGTCGAAATTGGTCCAGCCGTTCCAGAGATTACCCGGCACAAACAGACAGACAGATAGACAGACAGACAGACAAAAATTGTAAAAAATGATATTTTGGCATATGTACCGTGTAAACATGCATATGCATTTAGTAAAAACTAGACTTGCAACGAATAGTATATTCGGCAGTATACCGAATACCGAATATTCGGCGAGGCCCCTGACCGAATAGCCGAATATTAGGCAAAAGTATTCGGCTGGATTTTAGCGACAAAAACTTGTACAGACGTGAATTAAATTATGTACCTGTTTTATGTACCAATGACTACTTAATAAATGATTATAAAAGAAATGAGAACCTTACCCTTCTAAATTTTGATTACCACAATAATTCAAATACATAGAATCCTCCATTTTTCCTATTCAGAAGATGATTATGTACCTGTGTTATGCACCAATGACTACTTAAATGATTATAACAGAAATGAAAATATGAATATATACGTAATCAATCGATTTTAATTTTTCATTTTACCAATTATTTCTCAATGACAAAATATATTATTTAAGTATTCGGTATTCGGCCGAATACCGAATATCTACATATTATAAAAGCAGCCGAATAGGCCGAATACCGAATATCTACATATTATAAAAGCAGCCGAATAGGCCGAATACCGAATAGTAACCGAATATTCGTTGCAAGTCTAGTAAAAACCGGTTATTTTAATATTACAAACAGATACTCCAATTTTATTTATTTGTATAGATAATATGTTATGGAGCTTTGTAATTAGCTAAAAGTTTTGTGTTAGACCATGTGTGGATAACCATGCCCGTAGCTCGGAAAAAATGCTAAACCAATTACCCTCCCGGTTGTTCATCAGTGTACACTCAATTTATCAAAGGAATAGACAGTTCACCCTAGTGGGGAACATTAGTTGGCAGTAGCGAGACCTCTCCTAGAGGAAAAATTTGTTAATTTTGCAAACTCGGCTAGCGGTTTTTAAAGATAAAACTGGACTCCAGAATTTAAAATTGTGATTTCAGTAGCTCGTAAGTATGTGTGACTCCGGTGACGTCACGGTTGTGCTACGGAATCAGACACATCGAAAATTTTAATTAACTTTTTAAAATGAGCCTTATTTTAAGCACTGTAAAGTTTGATTTCGTATATCCTTAATTAAGATTCGTCGGTAAAGCAACGGTGTGCTTAATTGGATCAACAATGTTTACAACCGTACACAATTTATTGCATTTCGTTAGTTGACCTTGTGGTGTGTTCGATCTCTGCCTTACTATCGTAGCCTTGTTTGTTTGAGCTTCTGTAAGATGAACTTATATAATGTGCTATATAATGTCGTGATCATAATTAATATTTTTGCTTTCCTTTCGGCACGTGATCACCATATTTTAAACAGGACAGACTGTAAACTCTATGTGCGTAATGTAGGTACTCCCACTTGTAAAAGTGTCAAGACACTATTTAAAAATAATAATTCAAGTGACATGGAAGGGAGCGAGCCAGGGGTTTTCATTCATTCATTCATTATTTATATATATATGATATCTGTGTCTATAGTGTAAGATTATCTTACGTATCACGCGTTTTCTGAGTTTTCTGAGTACATAAATGGTGCGGAAATGTTTTTTTTGTTCTAAATTACTCCACCTGGCATTAGTAGATTCGAATCAGATATATCAGTTAGCCCTGATGAGTGATGATCCTGTTGTTTCCACAGAACAAAGAAAGCTCTGAAACCCTGTTGTGTCTTTCCCATAGCAAAATTCAACTATGAAGGTAAAATTAAAGCAGTAAGTTGAAATATTAGTTTAAATTTTATTATAAATGTAGTTATTTATTCATAATTATAAGTAAATTTGTAAAATAAATCTTTGGTATAAATAAGGTAAATTATTAGAACATCGTAATAATAGACAATAGTAGAGGTACAGTTACGGTAAGATAAAAATATATTGTAGGGATTCGTAAAAGCATAAACAACAACGAACAAGTTTTACAAAGGCATAAACAATTATAAATGTATTTGCTCAAATAATATCTAAGATAAGGAATGACACATAAGTAAATGATTATGTATTAAATGTTAAATATTAATTTCAACTTACTATATTTCAGTTTAAAGCAAACTACGAGACGTAGAGTTCGTATATAAAATAAGTCACTAAATAACCATTGAAAAATATCTTGTTGGATAACAATATTCCTATTATACATTTATTTTAAGTTTGTCAAGAAAATGTGTCATCACATGATAATAGGGTTCACAAGTTTTGTGACATCAACTTCAAAAATTTTAATATTAAAACACTAAAACAATGACTGTAAAGGAAAATCTATCTTATCTAGTAGTCTTTATAAGGTTCTTATTTGCTTAATGGATGATTTTTTATTAGCATCACTAAAACAACACTTACACTTTAAAAGAATTAAGACGATGTTGCTTTACAATATTTTGAAGGTACTCGTAATATTTTTTACACAAGCATGCTTAAAAATGACATACCATTTTATATCTCCCTATACTTATATCTAAATGATACTAGCCTACTTATTATTTTCAAATTACAAGGACGGATATCAAATGAACCACAAGTAGGTTATGTCTGGGACATGAAATGACCATGAGCTCAACAATATCTTACCAGTTGAGACAAGGACGAACGAGATGGAACCGGTTTAATGTTTCCAGAGTCAATATGCACTTTGAGACTTTCCGAGAGACGACTCATAAAACACAGACAATAAAACTTTCAATACCGTGACTGCAAAAAGGTATTTCGCAGTCAGAAATGCAGTTTAAGAATTTTACTCACTGATACGTAACTATCTTCCATTTATTTCATGAAGAGGAGTATCGATTTAAATAATAAGTCTATTCCCTAAACAAATATTACATGTTATTTTTACAATTTATTAGTGTCGTTCCTGTTTAGTTCTTTATCTCGTCATCCCGTCTTTGACATTTGTTTTATAATCTTATTAAGTGGGCGTGACACTAACTGCTGGTGATGTCATTTCGTCATTTTGTTGGATTAAATTATAGAATATTATTTTTAATAAATAGAATTGTCTCTAGAGGTTCAGTAAAATTACGACAGGCCTATCGTATAAGCTAGTAAAAACATGATGACCGAGGAGACGATGCTTACAACAGGCTTTTCTGCACTATTCCCGCATACCATTCTTCTCGAAGCTATTGATAACTTTTTATTTTGTAACATGGAATGTACGGAGTCCAACTCCCATCTTTCCATAACACCAGGTTCCCGGGAGAACAGAACAGAATACAGCTGAGCTGATTTGCCACTAACCCCTTCTTGGCAGAAATTGAGTACTAGATGGTCGTTAGCTGCTTTCAGAACTTGTATGGTGCCACTAAATTGTTTGTATTTAGACAATGTCGTCAACGTTCCTGGAAAATATCAAATTGTTTTTTAGTATATATCTTAATATTTTAATCGATAAAACTTCATAACAATCAATAAAACTTTTAATCAAAATAACATAATCTTCGGCAAGATTACAGACGCATCAAAGTTCGTTAGGATATTAATTAGATACTCTCACTAAAATTATTTCTAAAATATATTTTACTATTTTCGAAGCTAATAACGCTTTCTATAATCCTTAAAATTCTCATTTTTGACTAATAGTTTTAGATCATTTTAGGTTATTATTTAATTATATAGTATAGTAGGTATGAACTAAACTGAACTCTATCATACAAGCTAAGAAATGCAAGGACGGTTTTGTTTTTGTAGATGACATCCACTTTCATTTAAAACATAAATATAATAAGTAATTTATCATAAATAATAATGTGACATTCAATAGGCCGCAAGTTTATCTACTGTGTATGTACTGACTGATTTAATAAAAGTCTAGTTTTGTTTACGTTGGTGGCCTTTCCTGATAATACTTCAGTCCGGTTTTTTTTTTTGTATTTTAAAGTCTATAAGTGTAAGTTCCGCATTAGGAATATATCCTGTGTCGCGGGGGACTTTACAAACATACATGAAATGGACTCAAAGAACACCCAGACTCAGAACAACAATTTGTGGATCGCACAAAGTGTCGTCTTATGTGGGGATCGGACCCACAACTCTCAGCGTAGTGGTAAGCGGCGAGATGACCGCTTAAACCACTACGCCATCAGAATCAAAACCGGTGCATAAATAAATGGCAGCGTTCCGAGTTAACAAACATAAATAAAAATACAGCCAAATTAAGAACCTCCTCCTTTTTTTAGTCGGGGAAAACAGTACGCTACGAGTTTAAAGTTGTTCACAAGTTATATTGTACCTAACAGACGCAGTAGTGATGTTACATACGACTAAAAAAAAGACTTACCGTTTTGTCCATCGAAAACCTGCCAGTATCCGGCGGAGTCGTTCTTAAAGTAAAGCGAGTACTCGATGGTATTGCCTCCTTCATCCCACAGCACACGCAAGTGTCTGTATTCCTGTCGAAATTTTGCGTTGATGTGCTGGACGTGGAATAGTTGGTTCTCTGTCGAAGGCTAGAATAAAAATAAAGTGTCAATTAGAAAAAAAAATGTATTGTGGTAACCTTTTTTTCTCAAAATTAAACAGATTTCCAAAAGTTGTTTTTTTTGGATATATTGCCCGATTTCTTGATCTGACGTGAAGTGCTTTCTAATGTTTTTTGGCTGTTAAGAATGAAATAAATAATTGCTTTAACTAGTTCGTGGCAGCATTAATATATCCAAGCCAGATGTTGTTGCTAAGTTTTTCGAAATTATGTGTCTAGTATATGTACAAAATGTAAAAAAAGAACGTTTGCATCCAATCCTATCGTTGTTATTCTAATTTCTCGATATTGTACAATAAAAAGCATCTTTTTATGAAAAGAATCCAATTCTAACACAATTTAGTTCATTAGAAGAAAAAATAAGGGGCAGAGAGAAAGTAAATATACTTTGTTTACAATACTATATACATACCTACAGTAATACAATATTCATATTGACAACAATCGGTCTGGCCAGCGTGGTATAGTAGGCCAAAACCTCATTACTAAGGAGAGGCATATGTCCAGCAGTGGACTATTAAAGGCTGTTGATGTGATGATGATGATGTGATTGACAACAATCTCTTTTATATAAGTAGTTCCGAAAAGAAAACGATTCTAATTATTATAAATACCTATAGATAATATTTTATATTTATAATATTTAATATATTTTTTTACAGTTTAATAGCACAAGCACCTCTTTTTTTGAATAGCAAGCTCGACATGTTCCATTTGACAGTGCTATATTTCATTATAACAAAAATTATATGATCATGCCATGAATGAGAATTTAATGAGATCTTATTTAATGGCGGTATACGGAATAAAGACGATACTCATTGTATTCTAGACGCTTTTAGAATTACAAAATGGAATAGGTCATGAAGATTGACCTCTGTTGCCTTTTTGTATGCGTCAGCTGTTGGTCAAGTATCAGGTCACATTAATTGCTTCTACAATGTTTAAATGTGACAAATTACTCGTAGAAGAACTACGTTTTAGCCTAATTAGGTGGGAGGAATTATGTCGAGACGTTTAATTGACATTTTGCCGTATTTGTGAGTCAGATGATGAGACATTATTACATATGCGGGTATCACTGATACAATCGTATAATTTTCGGTTTTACAGACAATTGAAGGCTGAGTTTCACAACATGGTAAAATTTCCTAGTATATTTTGTGAATGATAGCAACCAGCTTATAATAGTAAATTCGAATTCTTATTATCATGCTAACAATACGTGACGAGACATTTGACCAGACAGTGTCATGTTTTCCTAAATATTCTTTATAGAAAAATTTCAATGATGGACAATACCTAGGATAAAGATATGACTAAGCCTTGTATGAATATACATACTTGTAAACTTGTACAAGACAAGTGTAGTTAATATATAGTTATTCTCATTCATTCATATACCATTTAAAACTGTATGTTAAAAATAATTGCCGTCAAAATCTTTACTTTCTTGTTGTTCTTGTCCTCTTCTCTTGAGTATAACTTATCGATAATTTGACAATAACTTTAAAGATTAAAATATAATATACGTATGGGTTTAGATGCTTCGAAGCTGTAATAAATATAAGCTCCTATATATTTCAGACACCGGTAAAATTAACAAATAACAAAATTTATAGAACTGTGACATAAATAAAATTTAAACCTACATAACTTAAACGTATCCAACAAAAAGACAACACTACAATGTCGTGTTAACGTTTATGAATCTATGAGCAGGTAATAAGGTTGACCCGTTGCCAATCGGAAATCGCGTATGCTAGGGTAGGAAGCTGCTTCAATCAACCGCATAGAGTATTGAGGTCGATGCCATCCCGGAACCATCTCCCCACAGTTACGCCTGTGCAAAATGATACATACACCTATCTAATGTCACCGAACCCACGCTGTACAAGGCAAAACAATATTACAACATCCTAAAACTCAATTATCGAATACATTATTTTATACGTAGTGTTATAGAATAGTAATACGGGAACAATTTTTGCAAAATTCTTCAACTTTAATCTAGGAATCATATTTTAAACTAAGTACCAGGATGTCCGAGCTGTGCTCGGTATTTTTTCTTTGGTAAGTTTTCTAAATATGAAACCTTGCTAGATCGATTAATCGCACCCGAAACCCCTGGCATACTAAATTTTATGAAAATCGTTGGAGCCGTTTCGAAGATTCAGATTATATATAAATACAAGAATTGCTCGTTTAAAGGTATTAATAATCATGAAAAGAAATTTCTAAGATTTTTTCATTTATTTATTTCAAGTCCATTTTTTATGCTTAGTTTGTCGTGTTTAGGGTAACTTTAACCTTTTCTTTATATGCACATAGACGAGGTCTTTTTTTTTTTTGTCGAGCTTTTCTTGAAATTTAGTTTCTAAAACTAATTACTTAAATCATTGTGATTTATAAGTGAAATTGTACTTCGATGATTGATTACGTACTTTAAATAAAGACTTAGTACTTTTTTATTATTTAATTAGAAATGTACAGATTTCAGATTTTTCCCTGTACTTGTAGTAAAAGACGATATTATTTGGCAAATTTCATAGTAGAATTTTGTAGAATTATGAATTGTTTTTTTTATTGCCTTGATAGTGTCGAAATATGCGTATTCTGTGCGGCATAAGCAGCTGTCCCTTTTTTCATGTTTAATTAGAAGTTGGTCACTCTGTAGGCCTCGTTATATATAAATACACACATACATATATATACCTCCACGTACCTCCATGCGTTACTGAGATAAAAGGACCTTTTATCTCAGTAACGCATGGTACTGAGATAAAAGGTCTTGACAGACAGACGGACAGCAAAGAAAGCCTATAAAGGTTCAGTTTTTTATTTTGAGGTACGGAACCCTTAAGATCAAAAAAGGGGCGACACTATATACATACATCAACACACACCTACAACTATATCAATAAAAAATGTTGCAAAACCAAGGAAAATTTATATATACAACATATACAATTTAATTTCGTCTACATCTAAATTAACATAAATAAATGACTACCTTTCAAACACTCCATTTATTTATTCCTACTATTCTAACTTTGTATACAAAGCTATTTTTATAGTTTCCCATATTCCCAGTAGAGTTTGCAGACAAAGTAAACAATAATTTCTAAAATGTTTGACTTATGCAAAAAGTATTTATTCTTTATTTCTACACAGTAATATGCTGTTACGGAGCATTAGGATGTGATGAAATTCACTTATTTTTCTGTTTAATGTTTAATGGTAATTAACTAGATAATCTAATATCACAGAATAGTCGTTTTGAAGTTACAAAACTACGTATACTAATATAAAGTTAAAGAAGTTTTTTATTTGAATTTTTAACCCGCCAATCTCTGGAACAATCGGTCAGGTTTTTTTTAAATATTGCATAAGGTATTAAATTTAAAAAGTTTATTGACTATTTAATATTACACACTATTTCCTCTAGGAATGGAGTGACCATAAACACAGCTGAAACTCTAGCTGAAACCCCTGATGACATAATTCATACCTACTGACTGATAAATTAAATCTTACTAAAATATTTTTTTACAGTTACCCTTCTGGATATTTTCAGTCTTAAAATATTTTAGTTAAGTACAATGGACACAGGAATCGAAACTGTTCAACGAAAACAATAAAATTTGCTCAATTGAAGATGTTACACAATACAATCAACTCATACGTACGCCTACTTATTGCCATGACGAGAACAGATGCACTAAATATTAACAAGAGGTCATGAAATAGTAGTACTGATATTTGTTGTATTTGTATTGTATTGTTGTATTACTATACTGACTAGGCGCATGAAATAAGTACTCATACACTATCCAAACCAATATGAATGGACGACTAATTACATAATGATAGTATAATTAAGTTAAATAGTTATTTAAAATGTAGAATTGGGGATTACCCAAATTTTACAATAACTGAATCATCATATGATGCCGTACGGCAACATATCAGTCATATTTTTAGAATCTATCGCAATCGTTTGAAGTTTCCTAATAACATAAACCTTTTAAATGTTAATAGACCTACCCCAAATGTCGTACTGGGGAACTGTGCCTCCTCCCATATATTCACTACGGGGCAGCTTTTATACTCATTGACGCCTTCGTTTGATAGGTGAAGATAAAGTTCCAGCACTTTCCACTTCCCATACACTTCTTTAATGTTCATCCTGTCATATAAATGTTCTCGTACACATGTCACAGTATCATTTCCATCGCTTCCATCAGTTCCATTTGAATCAGTACCGCTGTCGTAGATTATGAACTTTTCGAATGCCATTGAAGAAGTAACGAAGAAAAATATAAAAAGGCCACGAAAATATTCCATTTTTGAAACACAATAGTCGCTTATTTATATAACGAGCACGTCACTACTCCGGTTCTAGAAGACGTTTTAATACATATTTTTTTTATCTCGAGTGCGATTGTATGGTCAAAATATATGCGCGCGGCAATATTGCGCTTGTAAAAGGTCGCAGCCGACTGAGAGAAGCGGCGCGCGCGGCTGACTCACGTGCCTTGATGTTATCACGATTGACCTGAAGCTTTTATACGCACACGCACCTATAGCCATCAAGACAGGTCGTCTTGATCTCTATAGGTGATCTGCGGTATAATCCAATTTTTCATTAATCACTAATAGTTTTAACTTGCGAAGTTTATATAGACATATGTACATGCCCACGTTTTGACCAACTGTAAAAGATGATTTTTTAAATATTTTGTACTAATCTTAGTCAACATTTTTCACCAGAACTAGTCTAAAATAGAATTCCGTGTGCGTCAGTAGGTATATTAGATATTGAACAATCTATGATTTTTACGCTTATTATACTATGCTACTCACATTGCTTGGGATGATAACATGTGCCTATGGTTTTATATTATCCTTTTTTTTATCTTTCGAACACATATACATTTGCCAAAAGTTTCGGTTCTAGTAGCATCCGTATGCCAAATGAGCCGCTCCCCAAGACACCCATATAGCTTAAAGGTCCGTTTTTTGTGACACCCGCAAGGAAACCTGATTTATTTTCAATACCGTTCAAAGACAATTCATTCATGACTGCTTTTACAGTAAAAGAGAACACGGTATGGATACGGAAGTTATTGGTATTATCTAAAATTATTTAACTATACAAGCATGTTTACCTATCCTAAATTAAATCGATATATTCTTTTAAATGTAGTCTATTTAATTAGGAATATCGCAAAAAATCAAAATCAAGATGATGAAGTTGAAAATGGTTTTGTTGATTTTTACTTATTAATTTACACTTAACTTACAACTGATAACTTATTGATAGGATGTAGCAAATATTGCTCTAATTATACAACCACCTGTACATATAAGTTGAAAGTGAAGTACCTCACTTCAAACTTTCCATGATAGTAAGACATCGTCATTAAACGGTCCATATGTAAATAGAGTTCGATTATGAATGATTTTACATATAGACGTTAAAATATAGAAATGATTCAATCTACAACTTTCCAATATTTAAGTATTGGTAATGATGATAAACTATCAGAATGATCTTTCTAGAAAAAACGTTTATTAATATAATGATTAGACATCTTCTTTTCATCTCAACTACGTATAAGGATTTCTTTCGCATTTTTTTGATTGATTTGAAGAATTTGTGGATTGAGTTAATTTTAAGTAAAACATATTTCATTTTGAATGCAAACATTACTCAAAAATTGATAAAGAGTGATCCGAAAAAAAGAGTTTTGGATAATTTTAATTTGGACCTATAGAGAAGCATCTAATATTTGAAATAATTTTAAAAGTTTGCACTTTAAAACTGATTAAGAATGAACAGGGAACAATAATACCAATTAAATCTTTAATGAGAACGTGTGACTGTGCTCATTAAAAGAATTAAAAATAAGTTAAAAATTATAATAGAGGCTTAAAGAAATTCTTATTTATCAAACTGGTCACTTCAATTAAAATTAAACCTGCATGGTTTCAAATTAAACAGAGACGCTTTATTTATGTGAAAAGTATTTTATACTGTAATAATGTTTTTGCAGTCAGTTTTTATGCGAAAATTAGAGAAGTAAATACTAACGAGTTCTAACGTACGAGTACGTAACGTTTTTAATACTATGAAACGACATTTTATTGTTATCTTGTCGTTTTACTTAGCTTTTGTCCTCTTTTGATAACAGTCGATTCAGAAATTAAAATGTGCGGTTTTTAAATAATTTGGATAAAAGTAAAAAATATCGTCCAAAGTTATATTCAAGCGAAAATATCTATACAAATAAATAAAATTGGAGTGTCTGTTTGTAATATTAAAATAACCGCTTTTTACTAAATCCATATGTATGTTTACACGGTAGGTACATATGCCAAAATAACATTTTTTAAAATTTTTGTCTGTCTGTCTGTCGGTTTGTTCCGGGTAATCCCTGGAACGGTTGGACCGATTTCAACGGGACTTTCACTGACAGATAGCTGATGACATGAGGAGTAACTTAGGCTAATTTTTTTAGACTAGCTTCGGTGGTTATAACAACAAACGCGGGTAACACCGCGGGTCTCAGCTAGTTGTAAATATTTATAACAAAGTATGGGCGCTAGAGAGATGTCGGGGCGCCGATAAGATGCTTGCCTAGGGCGCTCTTAATACGTAATACACCTATGACTAAAAACCAGTTAAATATTTTTTGTCTGTCTGTCTGTCTGTTTGTTCCGGGTAATCTTCAAAACGGCTTTACCTATTTTGATAATAGTTTACTATCAAGTAGCTGTCTATATAAGGAGTAACTTAGGCTATTTTTTCTCTCAGAAAGACCCTATACAATTTTGCACGGTCCGGGAATCGAACTCACTAAGGCACCGCTTTTCAAATTCCACGCGATCGAAGTCGCGGGCACCAGCTAGTAAATAATAAATCTTTCAGTTTGTATGGTCTGTGGTACAGAGTAATGAAGCTAGTTGGTAATTTTCACAGCATGATACGAATTCAATTCATTAATATTGTGCAATGCAATGCAATTCATTAATTGTCTTCACTTACTTCTTTACCGATAGAAATCCACAGTTCTTGAATAACTATCGATCAGTTTTACGGAGGTTGAGGTAACAAAGGTAGTTTCTAATTTTGTTTCATATTCAAATGAACGTGTTACTTGCTTTGATTGAAGCGAAGATGGTTGAACCCTCTTTCACCATTTAGCTTCCTTTTGTGATTTTCGGCATTTTTATATCCCAAAACGAACTATATCTTTTTCTTATTTTTGTTCTTCCGATAGGATATATTTGGGTTTTAGAAGTTTCAAACCGAATACCCAAATTTGATAACGATGATTATTTTATACTTACAAATCAAATCAAATCAAATATCACTTACAAATAATCGTCTTGTAAGATTAACAAAATCAACATCTATTTTAATTTAAAAATATAATATTTCTTTCTTTCACAGCTTACACCAGTGATTAAATAAATAAATAGGGTTTCGAATTTTACAATTCGGCATCAAACCTTGGGGAAAACAGGATTCGACGTTACTCAAATAAAAATATTTATTTTATTTTACTCTTCGCGAAAACCTGTACAGGATAATAATCTACACCTACACTAACATGTTTTTTTTATTCTATACATATCTAAACAGCGGCGTTAACTATAACTTTTTTAGATGAGATCAGATTCAAATTAAAACACTTCTGACTTCATCTGATACATTATTATTGATATGCCACAAGAGAAGAGAAACACAGTAAGCCAAAGCAGCAAATAAAAAGATTAGTAACCACTTACTTGATCAACCGGCTCTGCTATGTGTACAACAATACAAGTTTTTGTGTAATCAATTCTTGAATCCCCAGCCAAATGCTCAACGAATTCCACACCATACCACATCCCCATTAAATTATCTACCCATATACCTGATTGAGAAGACCTGTTTACACAGTAACCTCGAATATCTTTCATGAATGGCATCTCATAAGAACTATAGCCGTTTGTGTAACCTGTGCCAAATCCCGATCCATAGTTTTGTCCATATCCTTGACTGAAAGTATCGCCGTATCTCTGCGTACTGTACCCTCCAGGTGGATAGAACACATTTGATCTCTGAGTCGTATAAGAATCGTATTTGTTCGTGCTGTATCCAGGACTAAAGTTTGGGTATCGAGTTCCAGGAAAGTTGGCAACATCGCTTCCATAACTTCCAGCTCCATTTTTAAAAGGGTATTGGCTATATGGGTTAACTGCGGTACTATAAGTTGAATAAGTGGAGTATTGAGTGTTGTCACCATACCGCTGATAATTCGCACTTTCAGTAGTACCGCACAAAATGATTAAAAACCCAATGATAAAGAACATTTCTAGATTGGTTGTCGCGTTGACGTCGCGTGATAGTTAGGTTATGGTTACAATACTTACGATGTGTGACTGCCAGGAGCTCGCTACAAGAGTGGGAAGTAAACTAATTAACATCAATCTACTACCAGCAGGGACATCGTTAGCAAACGTGTATAACTCATCATATTTTTTTTTTTAATGGAATCTGATAATCAGGGACATAAAACCATTTATTTTATTGAATGCTTTAAAAATAATGGATACACTTTTCATTAAATTTGGTTCAGATACATCTGATAAAAGTGCTGTACTTAGTGAAGATATGTCTCTCTTACCTCTCTTCAGCAATATTGAATATACCTTTGACATTATAGGACTAATTGAATCAAAGTTGTTTAGCGATGATGCCAATTTTATAGGTGAGAAATGCTGTTCATTTGAGGGGAAATAGCTAATTATCTTTTCTATATTTAATTAATTATTGTTTAAACAATCGTCATAGTTCAGTATTAATATTTTTGGTTAAAAGTTAATCCAATACAAAATAGCAAGTATCTAATTATAGGTCAACAGTGAAATTCCTAAAGAGGAGTTTTCATGTTGTTAAAATATTTTACTTTTACTTACTTTAATTATTTGTTAATAATATTTGTGACCAGTATTTTTTTTTTGTAAAACTGTGTCAGAAAAATCAATCATCACCTACCAATACCCAACTGAACCAATTTCCACATTTATATTTTTTAATTAATTACGTAGAAAACTGTTTTATGAACGAAAGATGTTTTGTTTTTAGTCTCGTGCTTAAAATCGTAGAACTCAAAGTTTATGGTTTTGTGAATAGAGTATCAACCATCATTTCCCTTTAGGACTTAAATTTTAATTCTAATAATATCCAAGTTTATTAAAGCTTTGTATTTTTACCTAACAATCAAAGCTTAATTTTGGATATGCCGATGACGGCTGTAATCTAATTTATTGTGATAAAGTAACTTATGTCATTTTCTCCCCGGATACAATACATAAACTTTCACCTACAAAGAACGTCTTATCTCACTACTATTATAAATAAATACGAAAGTTTGGATTAGTAGATGTTTCTTACTCGGACAATCAAAGCAAACAGACAGATTATACTTAGTCGTAAAATCACAATAAAAGCACTAACGCCCAGGAAACCGCGAGCACAAAAGCTAGTATTTAATATTTAAAAGTTAAACGGACTTAATATACATTATTAATTTCATTAAATAAAATTAAATGAAAACTTAAGGTTAAGTAACCTTTTTTTCAGTACCAGGTACCAGTTGCCGGGGAACCGCGTGTACCCTAAGAAGGAAATCCCTGATACCCCGAATTTGTCATTTTTTTGCTGTTTTGAACGCAATAAAAACTGTTATGTTTTTATTGCGTTGACAAAAATAGACTACTACTACTTTTAAATACATAGTTAGTAGATTAGATAGTATTACAACAATTTAATGTGTAAATTATAAGTAAATCGGTGTATTATCTATCCTAAAAAAGTTACTGAATTTCATATTTGCTGTAATGAATCCCGACCGATAATAAGTATTCATAGAAGCTGGAATTGTTTTTTTTTTTTAAATCCAAGTGTGAGTTTTTAAATAACCAAAACCTTATTTTCTGAACTTCTGTATGATCCAGTTCACATAAACAATGTCTTCAAGGAGTTTATTTTACAAGTTTTGTAAATTTTGTAGGAGTTGTAGATTGTGGTTCCCACATTTATTACTACTATTATCTACATACAACCAAGTAGTATATACATCACAGTACGTACGTTTAACTTTTTTTAAATGTCTCTTACTCGTAATTATATTAGGGTTTCATACATTAAGGGCACATTTTGAACATATGTATAGTGTGGCCTTGATTTAAAAAGGAGGTAAACTTAAAATCACACAAAGCAACTGCGTAATTTATAAGGACGGTGTTTGTTGCCGACTACTGTAGCTGGAAAACGGCCTTCAAAGTAATTGTTGCGTTTTTTAGTAAAATTGGCGGTGATCCCGACAAGGTGAAGGTGATATAAACAAATTCTGGAGCAAACGGAGCCGATAATTAATTGAAACACCGTTTACTCAAAGAATCGATATTTTTTTATTAACGCTTTAGTAAGATGTACTTTACCATCTTAATATCTTAGGTTGAATACTCGTATCCAGGTATAATACGGGGTATTTGAAATTTTTAAATCGGCGTCTTAAAAGTAATAGACAATTAGTACTTTACCACAAATTTGAACAATGGCAGTAACATATTTACCTAAACTTCAAGCATTTAAAAAATTGACTCACAGTAAACTTAATAAATATTTTTTCTATGATTTACTACTCTGTCAAGAAAGTACCGGGAAAATATCAATAATACACACAAAATGTTTGTTATTCATCCAAATTTATTTTATCACCTTCAAAGTATGCTTCTTCACAAACGATACACTTACGCCAACCAATAATCCAATCATCAAAACATTTTTAGGAAAAAGAAAGAAATCGGCTGGAGCCATATCTGGTGAATATGGTGGTTGCTTGATGGTATTTTTCGAGTGTTTAGTCAAAAATTCGTTCACAATGATGGCCTTGTGCGAAGGCACATTATCGTGGTGCAAAGTTCAAAAATTTTCTTTCTACAAATCTGGCTTCTTTCGTCGAATTTGCTCTCTTAAATGCCGCATAACGCTCAAATAATATTCTTTATTTACCATTTGACCTTCCGGCAAGAATTCCGAGTGCACAACACCGCGATAGTCAAAGAAAACAGTCAACATGACTTTGACTTTTCATCGACTCTGGCGTGGTTTTTTCGACAGAATGTATCATTTCACCACCGTGTGTTGAATAAATCTTATAAGATATAAGTTTTTTTTAAAGAACTAATTTGACCTAAGTACGTAATGTCTGACATATTTGCTATCACGTTTAACCGACTAGGGATGCGTAATGACATTATTATATTATGGAACGTTTTATCGATAATCGATTTTTATAGCTTTAACTGAAATACAAAAAAAAAACAAAATTAAAAATATATCCAGAAGACAATATTATGTCTATATTATAGTCAAAAATAATAAATATACGTGGAGGATCAGGCATTACAGAATATTGTAATTTAAGTAATTTAAGTACTTAACCTTGAAATATTCATAGTAGGCCAAAACCTCCTTTCTAAGGAGAGGCCTATGTCCAGCAGTGGACTATTAAAGGCTGTTGATGAACCTCGAAATATTCAAAATCCAATATCTTTTTCCCTAAACTTCTTTAATTTCCATATTCCATATCCAGTAATTTTTATTTATTATATTTATTTAATTCTTTTTGCAGAAACAACAATTCATTGTACAATGGCGGACTTAATGCCACAGGTATTTTCTCCCAGTCTACCTTTGAGTTATTGGTAATTAAGTTTTATATGTAACAAGATAATAATAATTAAGGATATGGACAGAACCAGTCTGACGGATATACATACATACATACTGAGATACACATACATATATACTTGCTGAGTTACATACATACATATATATACATATAATACACTATCTAAAACTTTAGGGATGTAATGAATCTGCTTGAGTGTCGAGAATTCGAGCTCAGACTTTCGTCTATAATGAGAGGCGCCTGGGTGTTATCCTGATTTCCAAAGGAGGATTTCCAACGTTCCAGAGGAAGACAGATTGGTTTAAGAGCGAAGAGTAAACACATGCGGAAGTATGAGTGGGGCATAACAGAAGTGGATTGTTTGAGGAACGAAGGGTCGTTGTTATTGGAACATAGAAATTTAAATGAGGATGTCAGGTAGGAAGGGGAAATAGGTAAGTTGAGTATGGTAGCAAGCGTGGTGAGGGCGTGCAGTTGACGGCGCTGACGAACCGTGAGCCAGTTCAATTCGCAACGAGAGGAGGAAACATGGTCGTATTTGCGAAGGTTAAAGACGAATCAAATGCAGTTATTCAGAAGGCGGTCATTAATTTAAAATAGGGATAATAAGGGTCTGTACTAGCATCGCTTTTGTCTCAAAAGGAAGCAAGTTTTTAAGGCGATAAAAGGCCCGTAGCGTACACGGGACTCTCTGGCTGACGCATGTGACCTGGGTTAGCCAACTGAGTTTGGAGTCGATAAACAGGCTAGGCTAGGTTCTTATGAGAGTTCCCGCTTCCCGCTTCCCGCGGTGGGCTGTCGCCAAGCTCGACAGGGACCTACTAGAGGCCCACTCTTGGCTGTCTCCGCAGGCCCCGACCGAGGAGGTCGATATGGGGGCTGGTCGCTTTTGCGATGCGATTACGCAGATTTGCGATGCGGCCATGCCCCGCGTTTGTGGTTGTCGGCCTCCAAGGAAGGAGGTCTACTGGTGGTCAAAGGAGTTTGCGGACCTCCGTGCGGCCTGTGTACGTGCCCGGAGGTCCCTCACCCGCAGTCGGCGACGTCACCGCGGGGTCGGTGAGGAGGTGGACCGGCTTCATGAGGAGTACCGAGAAGCTCGGAAAACTCTGAGGCTGGCCATCTGCCGCGCCAAGGATGTCAGTAGAGAGGAGATGTTGGAGAGTCTCGAGCGTGACACCTGGGGTCGCCCTTATCGTGCGATGCGTCAAAAGCTCCGCACGTCGGGTCCCCCCTTACGGAGACTCTCCAGCCCAGCTTCCTGCAGGAAGTGGTCGAGGGCCTATTCCCGCAGCGGGCGGAGCACACACCCCCGTCAATGGCTGCATCAGCCGGACACGACGGGGTCAGCGAGGTTGATGTTCCGCCCATCAGGGAATCGGAGTTGGGGACGGCTGTTCTACGGATTCGATCCAAGAACACTGCCCCCGGGCCGGACGCAGTCCCAGCCCGAGTGATGGCAAGAGCCCTCGATTACAAGTCGGACCACCTCAAGGGGGTGTTGGACGCTAGCCTGGCGTCCGGACGCTTCCCTGAGCGCTGGAAGTGCGGGAAGCTGGTCCTGCTCAAGAAGCCGGGACGGCCTGCCGATTCGGTCGCGGCCTATAGGCCTATCGTGTTGCTGGACGAGGCGGGTAAACTTTTCGAGAGGGTGCTCTCTGCCCGCATCGTCCGGCACCTCTGCGGGGTTGGTCCCTCTATCTGTCGGACGCCCAATTCCGCCCAATGTGGCCGTAGTACGCTCCATGGCCGGTAGCGACAGTTGTTTTACCGCGGTCGTAACGAGATTACTTCCTCGCAGAAGGAGGCGGTGGAGAAGGCCCGGGAGGACGACCTCCACTCGGACCCGATCCGCCGCCGGCGAACCAGGCGGCGGAGGCGCGCTCACCTGCGCCTCATGCCGCCCTGAGTGTGGCCGCGGGTGGACGGGATGGGTTTTAACCTCCACCCGCATTAGTTTGGCCAGCCGCGAGGGGGCGACGTCCGCGTGTGCCGGACGTCGCCTAAAGAGAGGGTCCACTGAGACGGAGCCCGCGCCAGGAGCGGGCTTGCGCTGGGAGGGGGACAGAAGGCGATAACAACCTGGACCCCTCCTAACATAGAAGCGCAAAGAGGGCACACCGTGTGGTTTTAGTCGGTTCGAGTCCGACACACCGCCCCGCCGAACAGAAGACCCCGGCGGAGTGACGGCCTGAGGGGATTTCCACACGTAAAAAAAAAAAGGTTCTTATGAGAGGGCTGAAGGGAATGACTTCGCCGTTATAAGTAATGGCAGTTTGTCTTGATCCATGCTTCCAGTCATGCGCTGACTGCCTATGTTGATAGCTTGGCATTTCGCTGGATTTACTGCCAAACCAAACCCATCAGCCCAACTGCTAATAGCCTCCAGGTCATTGTTAACCATAAAAATGGCCTCATTTATGTCGTCCGTCGAGGCTTGATAATATAGTTGCAAGTAACCGGCTTAAAGATGGTACGCACATTGAAGATTCGGGGTGATGAGATCGATAAATATTGAGAATAATAGAGGAGAGAGAATGCCACCTTGAGGGACACCACAGTCAAGCTCACGCCAACTTGAAGAGGCTTTATCGACACGGACAGACTGTTGGTGATCCTGAAGATATGAGGAAAACCATTCCAGTGTATCAGGCGCTATCATGAGATAGGAAAGGATAGATAGAAGGATATCGTGACTGACGGTATTGAATGCATTTGAGAAATCAACCAAAGCTAACACAGTAACTTTGGAATTCTCAATTCCTGCTAGGATGTCGCCTGTCAGTAGGTTGAAGTCAGAAGTAGTGTTATGCCCTGGCCTAAACCCCGATTGGAAAGGACTTAGTAAGTTGTTACGGTAAATATGTTTGGATAGTTGATGGTTCACACAGGCCTCGAGGACTTTGGACAGGAAAGGAAGAATGGAGATTGGTCTTAGGTGATTCAGGAGTGTTGGATTCGGGATTTTGGGAAGGAGTATGACAAATGCCTTATACCACGATGTGGGATAAGTCTCCTATATAAGGATAAGAATGATAAGGATAGGAATGATTATGCGACGGTTAATGTTATCACATCCCATGGCGTTGGATTTGATTGCGAGGATTGTCTTTTTGACTACACCTGGTTCTACTGGACAAAACTGAAAAGCTTCAATATTGGGACGGGGTAGGTCCGCCAGGAACTGTAACGTCCGACATTTGATTTGGTAATCTAAGATCCAAATCAAAGGTCGGAGGAAGGTTACATTTTTTGGATTTGCCTATACCTAGGGTTCCAAGCAACCTCCAGATACCAGAGGCAGATGTACAAATTAAATTACACACCATCAGGTTACACCGATTTCTCGCAACTTTACAAATGGCCCAGTTTTCGTTGCAGCGGTTTCTCTGAAGTTTACGAAATGCCTTATCTCTGCGACGCATTGCCTCTCGAACACCTACGGTTATCATTTTGTTATGAGAATGGTCAACAATAAATTCTCAAGTGTTTTAGGCATTTTTTATATACATATAAACGCTACCATTTCATCAATCATCATCATCAACAGCCTATACTAGTCCACTGCTGGACATAGGCCTCTCCTTAGAAAGGAGGTTTTGGCCTACTATACCACGCTGGCCAGACGGGTTGGTATAGGGTTTGTTTCAAGTTTTCCTTCTCTTTGCAGTGCTGTTGTCTTGCTTAGTTTGCTCCCTTAGTCGGCTCTTACGACACCCACGGGATGAATTGGGGTGGTGACAATTTGTATTCTTAATCCGTCACCACACGGACTCTACCATTTCACTTCAAATAAATTTTGTATGGGGACCTACCATTGTCCTTTCTTTTATGACATTTGTGATATCGAGTGTAGTTCGGAAGTGAATTTTGACGAAACGAATTTCTTTAACGAGAATTAACCTTCTGTTCTTTAAAACGCTATCAAATCTTTTCTTTTTGTGATAAGACGCCGGAAGTTTTCAGAATTTTCTTTCCAGGCCAGACCTAAAAGTCTGGCCGTAGGACCCTATAAGAGAACATTGTGTAGTTTTAATTAGTTTGAATCCAGCCTCACTGTGAACCCCGGTGAGATTACAATCCGATCGTAGACTGAAACAGTATTATGTCTACTCAACATACGTATTTCGTATAAAGTATTAGAACGTTAATAAGACGTTAAACCGATGTATTTAAAAAGTTCACAAAAAAATCTGGTAATCATGTTTTTTATTTGAAAACAACTAATTTCAGGGCCACTTATTTAGATATGTTTTAATAGTGTGGTTTAGAAAATTAAAAATCAGCTACCTACAAAGTTATTAAAAAATAATACTACATAGTTACTAAGACACCCATTTCCTTAAATTTGTTCTTAATAATATATCAGTCTTTTGAAGTTTCGTAACATGAATCAGCCATCATAAGCAGAGTCAAACATATTCCCACAGAGCCAACACGGGTCAAGTAATCATACATGAAATCCGGTGAGTCGACCTGTTAATTGATTTAATTCGTTGATACTCCTGTAGTCATGTTGGCTCCTGACCCTGCCTCCTGTCTTACGGGTCACAGGCCACTGGCATATCCTCACTTATAAACAAGTTTATTAGTTAGGACTTGTTAAATTTCACGTCCTATTAAGTTTGAATAAACAGGGTCATATCGCATCCTCTCATTAACTAAATGGGTTGCTATGGATTTTATTCTTGTTTATAAATTGCTAACAAAAGAAATTGCTACATTAGCAAAAAAGCCAAGCAGACAAAAGCAAATTAACGTCGGGGTGAGCCACACGAATTATAATAAGGTAAAGTGTGTCTGTCTGCCTGTCTGTAACCTCTTCAAACCACTGAGCCAATTTAGATGAAATTTGGTATAGAGATAGTTTGAGTCCCGGGGAAGAATATAGGATATTTTTATCCCAGAAATCATCCTTTAAGGGGGTGAAAAGGGGGTTGGAAGTTTGTAAGACTGACAGACACACTTTCGCACTTATAATACACTGCTCACAAAAATTGAAGGGATATAAAAAAACTAAATTTTTGAGTGATTTTCAACAAGCTGTAATTCTAATACACAGTATGGATGTTCACGTTCATCACATTTACATTCATCTATGTAATAATACGTAAAAAAAATTCGTTGTACTTTTAAACAAATGTCGTGCACAGAAGCACATCGTACTTGGAATAGTAAATATTTACATGCAGAAAAATCTCGAAAGCTATCAAACAATATACGCTATAAAGTTAAAAGCCAGCCAAGTGCGCTTCGCACCACGCGCAGTCTAGAGTTCCGTCGTACCTTGTTGCAACATGCGGTCTGAGAAAAGGGCTTTATACTTTCACGGTTTACGGGCAATAACGTTTTAAAACGGGCTTACGAAATTTGAATAGGAGTGATATCTAGTTACGCCTTAAAAACTAACAAGTAAATAAATTATGCATATTTGATCTTGGGCCACTACGAGTATTAGTCCTAAAAAAACAGAACTTATCCATTATGGTTTTCATTCTAAATTCGTGTTGTATACTACCATCATAATTATTTTCATTTTTTCTGGACAAAAGTTTAGTTTTTAGAGAGAGGGAGGGAGATAGGCTCGAGAGGCAACATGGGACCCTCTGACGCAGGTGATCACGGGCAAAGGATGCTACGGGGATTACCTGTGTCGGATCCGCAAGGAGAAAACGCCTGAGTGTCACCACTACGATGGCCAGAACGTGGACAGCGCGTTCCACACGCTGGCATAATGCCCGGCGTGGCCTTGTTGCGGCCATCGGAGTGGGAATTCTCTCGCTTAGTACCATGATTGCGGCCATGGTACTGAGCGAGAGCGCGTGGAACTAAGACGTCTCCTTCATCATCTACAAGCCGTAGATGGCCCGGGGTCCGTCGGGGTTGCAGTTATATTCTTCCTAGGGTGGTTCCCCGGCTACTGGTACCCGAGACGGCGTGGGGTTTTTTTTCGGTTCATGTCCGACATAACCACCAGTGGGTGGTATCCGAAGGGAATTAAAAACAAAAGAGGGAGGGACGCTCTACTCTAACATAATTAGTAAACTTCAATATTGCGTAAACGTACCACTAAAACGAAAAATAGTCTTCACAACCCCTCAAAATTGTTGAATAAGCTATCCAGTATCATATATGTACAGGTAACCTAAAAAAAATGTTATAGGGTTCTCAGTCCTACTACTGAACCTCAAAAATTAAGTCAGAATGACTATTAGGCTAACGACTATTGGGGTCCAGTATATATTTTGACCTGTCATGGTACAAAGTCTATAAAATGACAGATCAAATTATATTGGTCATTAACGAGACCGTGGGTTTCTTAAAGGGTAGTAGGTACTATACTTACGTCTTATCTCTTTTGTAAAGATCAGAAAGGAAACTTATTTATTTTTACCCATAATTTATTTCTCTTTGTCCAAATTATTTCAACAACGATAACAAAGAAAACTTCCTGGCATTTAAAAATACAATTTTAATATTTGTAGCTTCTTGTAAAATTTTAGGCCTTACTGAAATCTATTTATAAAAACATAAATGTGCATAAACAAAAAATAATAATGAGCAAAGAACTAGTTTCCACACAGCCAGTACAAATTGAAGTGTATCGAAATATATTAGGCAGATCAAAATTGAAGAATTGCCGCTTGTAGTCGTACCACTGCCATTTCTCGATCCTCGAAGGTGACCGGCGGAGAATCATAGAGAACACTCCACCACCTACCTCTGAGCAATGATTTAAAAGCATTAGGTGTGGGGTTACTTTTAATATTCGTATTACTTGAGGATGCTTAGGCGGATCATCAGGATGCCAAATATCTAAAACAATATCAGTAATTACTGTTTTATTTTTACTGTCAGACTAAAATAATTATAAGTTTTATGTGAAAGTCGAAACAGTGTAAAAGAGAAGAAACCAAAAGCACTCGACTTGACTGAAATGCTGGAAAGCTTTGAAGTACTACATCAGATATGACATTGGGTCACGTTACAAATACACCTATTAAAATATGTCTACTTACTTATTCCTCTGGCCATCATTTCCCTCTCCAAAGGCCTTAGTTGCTCTGCAACCCAGAGCCCTGGTTCGTTTGGAGTATACACATAGGTCTGTTGCACGGTTTGTCCATCCTCATCCCAAATAACCCGTAATCTCCTCTCGCTGTAAACGTCCCTCTTCACTTTTCTTCGTATCCGTACATCCATCCAAGAGCCCGCAATAGTATTTTCAGACCACGGGCTATTTTTATGCGACCGCCAGTTTTTGCTGGAATAGTTATGTCGTGGGATCTATAAGGGTCACAAACATAATTTCAAAGTCATTAATCTATTACACCATCTTATATAAATAAAAATAAATATCTACCTTATATTTAGATAGCATTTAAATAATTTGAAACAATCTTTTGAAAAAAGTGCATAGTAATTACCTATATTATGAGACCTCAGATTCTTCAATATCAGTGACTTATTGTTTTTATATATATCTAGCTACCTATAGACCTACCTACCTAAATAACTGTGTTCCTCATAGTATTGATTTAAATAGTAACGTATAAAATATAACCCACACATTGAAAACGTTTTAATAATGCTTAATATAAATTTTAGTGAATCTCTTACAGCTTCCACGCCCAAGACGTTTTAATGGTTATTTTTAATGGTTATTTTTAGCTAAAACCTAATCAAAATATTTTACTTTAAATTTAATTTAAATATTTTATTTTAATAACATATTAAAGACGTAGTGTAAACAGAGAGCGTCATGTAAACACACCTAATATGATTTTACTCAAATATTCCACTGGGAATCGGACATGCTTAAGAAGTATTTCGAAGATAAAGTTACAGTATTACCATGAGTTACGATATTAAATTTTAAAATTATACTTACAGACCAATCACGCCAATCACTTATGGCCTCAGTTGTAACATCCGTGATGTGAAGCGTGACGCATCCAACTTCCTTTGGTTTGTTTGTCATGTCTGGGGTATTTTGAGCGTAACCTACTCCGTACCACATTCCGTACACATCGTTAATATTGAATCGATGAGCCCACTGTATATTATCACCGCAAAATGATTCTACGCTGACGACTAATACAGAAATCAAGAACGTACATTGAGGCAACAAAGTGAACATGATTACACTTCCACACACGAGAAAAATATGGGCCAAGAAGTCGCCTTCGTGTCGTCTTTATTCTGGCCGCGATTCAGACAATTAGCAACTTGGTGCAGGTGAATCTCGAGGCATGCAATTGCATTGAATGTCTAATACGTTAATATTATCACAGACCTAGTTATTTAGGTTTTTTTTGGCATATTATGGCATAGAGAGCAAACAAGCAGACGGGTCAACTGATGTTAAGTAACTACCACCGCCCATGAACATATGCAACTCTAGAGTCACAAGTGCGCTGCCGCCTTTTGAGTATCTCCCTCCAGAATTAGGAGAGGGGTTACTCCCCTGATTCTGGTAGGAATAGGAAGGGTACTCGATTAAAAGCAACTAAAGAGTTGCTTCACACCTGTTTACTGTGACGTCCTGGTATTATTCCGGTCGAACCTGGCCCATATGGATACATAGGTAAACAAGGTAGGTCGCGTCCACGTTAGGTAAACAAATAAAATTACAAAAGTTTTTACAAATCTTTAGAAGAAGCGCAGGCCAGCGGTAGGAAAAATGTCATCCCTTGAAACTCTACAAAAGGTATTGAAACAGTTATAGAGATGTTCTTAAGAAATCAGAAGATGTGCAAGAAGATTCATGATTCAAGATGTGCCCTAGGACTCTTAACTTTCTAACGAACAGATTTTAATGATAATAAATAAAAATTATTTTTTTAAGTAATTCTTTAGCAAGTTACAGTGTGAACAGGCTAAAATATTAATGTAGTTTCATACATCTTAATAAATTTTCTACACTAAAGCCAACTCAGACGCAGCTAACACTTTCAGCGCTAAAAACTGCATCAGTTTCTTTGTTAACCGACTTCAAAAAAGGAGGAGGTTCTTGTGTTAATTTTACTGCTACTGGTTTTTGAATTTACTTCTTATTTCAGGGCAAACCAATAAATGACACGCTTCTTAATGAAGGCTTTCTCTCTTGGAGTGCCAAGGGTGCGGACGTGACGGAGATGCAAGTGATTGTGAGCGGTGGTTTATGTTCCCTTACTTTAAATTTTAATTGATATGTGATAAAACGTATCTCTGTCTTACAAAAAAAACATGATTTACTGACTGATGGTCCATATTTTGCGTTTAAAAGTAAAACATTTACATCAATCAGTAAATATTGCCACCATAATATTTAATTAAAACAGAACAACTAAAAACCTATTACTAAGTATTTTTAAAAAGTATAAATTATTGTACAAATCGGCCAGACTTTTAATGGAGTCACTTCGCTGGCTTCGTTAACATTAATAAGAGAATTTGTTTATTTATCCTCTTGAAATATCCAATTTATTCCTACTTTTAAACGTGAATGATTTCGCTTTGATAACGATTTTGGATAAGGAGGTCCAAACTCGTTATTTAAAAAGTGCTTATCATGGTGATAAAATGATATACAAAATATTTTCTCTTTCGACATAATAATGATGATGTTATAGCGCTACTTATAGATTCTCAAATTTAACTATCTGTAATCTTGCCAAGCATTTACACTAACCAGGACCAGCTAGTGGTACTTATAACCTCGTTTTCTAACATAATGCCTATGAAGTATAGGAAAAAAAAACAACAATTTCAATTATAAATAGTTTAATAGTTTTCTTTTATATAAAAATATATCAATACAAATATACTCTTTACAATATTATGGAAAAACGATTCTCATTGAATAAAACCTATTATTGGTCTGCAGTAATAATATATTACTTACTACTATGTACAAAAAATGTTTTTTGTACAAAACTGGTTTTTGAAATTCACCGCTGTTTCAGTTAAATTAATTTTATTAATTACACAAATATTAATGTGAATACAGTTCTCTAAATTACTACATTTATATTGTTTCAACTCTTGTATATTTTCTGAAATAACTGAATCCTACACACAGTAAAAAACTTGAGAAATCACTTAATAAGAAACTGTTAAAACCACATTTTAAGTATATATTATTTTTTCTAAAAATGCTACGCATTTCAAAGTCGACCTCCCCAAATTGAAAAGAAGACTATTGAAAATAGTATTAGAGAATTATGTATTTTTGAAGCAGAATTTTCGCATACTCTTTTCAAGGCCGATGTGGATAAACGCTTTAAGGTGAACACGTTATGTATGTTAGCTAAGTCTTCCGGTGTAAGTTGGTTTTCGTTTCTGGATAAAACTACGGTGAACAATTGCGAGCTGGGCAGCCTCATACAGAAGTTGAGCACCAGATGGTTATTCGCTACCTTCAGAACCTGGATCACACCTCCGAAGAAACGATATTGAGGGTCAACCGCTGAAAAAAATGTTATTAAAAAATATTTTTAACATGTGACCAAAACTTTTTTTTCCTTTATATTACAATTATAATACTTGGTTAATTACAGTATGTAATTAACCAAGTATTATAATTATTATAATTTTATAATTATTAATATTATTTAATAGGTATAGTGTAATTATTTATTTACCAGTAGGTTCGAGTTACCAACTTACAATTACCAACAAATACAACCAAACTCTTAACCTAATCGACCATGTGGAACTCTAATGATCATGCTTAAAATATTAAGTAACTAGAAATAGTCAGAACGTGATTTACTGTGATTTTCTACGAGGCGGAGATACTCAACCTCTTTCAACAACAAATTGTAATTCTTAGTATTCTAAATGTGAGGTTTAATACACTTAAATGCAACAAATCTAATTTTGCTTGGTAAGTTTTAGAAATTGCTTACAACGACTGGGAACGTCAGTCATCCAGAAGCCTTTAGCTGAAGTGTTAACTTTGATGTGATAGTCGTCCTGCCACAACCCCGCATGCCACTCCAACACAAAGTGCCTGACACGATACTGCTCTTGCATCATATATTGACGATTAACGTAGGGATAGTTCGTCAATTGAGGGTAAGGAGTCGGCGGTGTTGGCTGAAACATACATTTTATCCAAATTACTGGTACTGTAACAAATTTATTCTTAACAGAACAGACGGCGGGAAATAGCAAGTCTTATACGAAAACGAATGAAACTCAATTTTGATTGCTTGCCTCTACGCCACTACGCTAATAGTCTTTCAACGGCTGGTCGGTATAGTCTAGTATGTGTCTAATCACTACCCGAGTGAGTCATTATATCATCATTCCTTGTGTTATTTACATATTTTCTTTTTAAGTTAAAGTTGAAAATAAAAATAATTTATGAGAGTGGTTTAAATAGAATAGCAGGTACACAGCTTGCTCGCTCGTTGAGACAGAACATCATAAGAATAAATCACACACAGACTAATACAAGTTTGTGGACAAACACACTCATTAAATTATGATTCAGTAAACCACCAAGCACGTAATCTTCCAATTTCCGTATATGTATAATTGTACAGTACGGATTGACCACAGTTATGATCCTCTTATCGTTGTGGTACACATATACATGAACATACCACATCCTTAGAACGGCGTCTTCATCAAAATCAGGAGTTGGACTCAAGTCCTTGCAAAAAATTACGTACGGAGCGATCGGCAAACACAAAAAAAGTTGAATTATGAATACCATTGTCAATATTTTAAGTTAATTGCCAATGATAAGGTTCACGACACCGAAAGCTTAATTGAAGTCAGTGAATTATCAGCCCACTTACGTACAGTCATCGTGTTATATACCCAGATGAGCGTGATTAACCTACTAATTGACAGAACGATCTTCATGTCCTGTTATGTGTGATGTATTAGGGTAATGTGTGGAAATAATGTGATATTGACTTAAGAGTTCGAGTCTTATGGAGTAAATTGACATTTATTTCCTTTATGCTTGTTTGTATTTCGTTATAATTTTTTTTGGTGATTGACAAATATCTTGCACTGATGTAATTTTTTTTAATAAAATATTTTGAAAATCTACGTAAAATCTGGGTAGGTACGGAACCCTCGCCGCACGAGTTCGACTCGTACCTGACCGGTTTTTTTTATGTGTAATAAATAACATAAGTGCAAATGTTAGTGCAAAGTAAATTAATATAAAAGAGTATATAGGAGAAATTACTTAACCAGAATAATAAAACACAAATTCATATTTTTAATTTCTCTACACCGAATAAATATTTACAACCAAATAGCAATTTCAGTATAAAATAATAATAACTTCATACATCTCACACACGGCCTTCTGATCTCAAACTGGGCAGAGCCTGCACGATGGTAACCAGAAAACTCAATATTTATGTAAGAGCTATATTAATGAAGTCAACATTAACATGCACGTTGCTACTTGCTTGCTATTTTGTGCAATAATTATTGTTGATAATACTTTTACTATAATATTAAATCACCTAGATTAACATTGTGGTTCTTATCCTTCTGCATACGTTATGGAAAAATGTAGAGCACAAACTTTTCAGTGCCATCACGAAGTAATCACGCGCATAGTCACACACACGTGAAGGTCTTTATGATTAATAAAACAAAAGTAAAATATATGTTCAACGTTCACTTACCTCAATATATTGCTCCTTGATGTCTATGTAAAAGCACTCCTTTGTATATTCTATTTTATATTCTCCCTTTGTGTGTGGAATTTTTTCGACGCCGTACCAAATACCAGAGATTTGATCTAAACTTAAATTGCCATAATAAGGAGATAAATCGTCACAATATTTATGAGTTTCAAAATTATATTGACTGTGACAATGCACTAAACCAAATATAAACAAAGTGAACACCGCTGTACAATACGCCATCGGATTAGCCATCATGATAACCCGGATAATATCGGATAAAACTTTCGGATAAAAGGAACCGTGAGTACTAGGAAAATAGCTGAGAGAGGAGTTGTTTTATGGATAAGCCCGTCGGAAAGAGTGAATTTCAAGTAGCTCAAAGCACGTGGGCGGGCTCCCGACGAACGAGACTCGACTGCCAATGCCTCACTGGTGGTAATTTACTAGTTACGCTGGAATACTTCCTTAATAAAGTTTATCAACGCGTTGACAGTCCCCTCATATAAAGCTACATAAACAGCACATAATATATACCAATTGTTTGTAAAGTAGTAGTGTAACAAACATTTTCCTGTTAACAAGACGTATATTACATGAAATATACCGAATCCATCTACCACGATCTTAACCCGAAGCCTGACTCTGACCTTCGTAATCAAGAAAATTGTTTTTCTTAAGATTTAATGCGGAGAGTTTTCTTAAGTTTTCCATGAGCTGACACTTTTCTTAGCATACTTAGATACCAGAGCGACAGAAACGTTAGAGTATGGTATTGTAGAAAATCAATAAAACTCTCTGACGTCATAGAGGGTGGTTATTGACCGCGTCACAATACAACGGGACTTATGTGTGCGTCAGTATTGATTTTTTTACACTTTTATGTGTAGTTGTGAGGATTTTTATTTGTAAGTCATCGTGATTTATGATGTAGAGGCGAAAAAGAATAGTCCTACTTTGAGGTTAATAATACATATGATACCTGTTTGATTTTTCTCTTTACGTTATACATATCTATCATACGGACAATAATCTATAAATAAAGCTTTTTGGAAAGATTCTTAAAAAGAAACGTGAGTTATTAATCATATATTATATATATGATCATTATTAAAATGTACAGGTCAGCTGAAGCACATGGTATTCCTTGTGACGTCAACGACCGGAGTACGATCCATGACGTAATGCGTCATGGTTCAACTCGAGGTTGTTGATACTAAGGGCCCAGATGTGTAAAGGAGATAGATGAAAATTAGTGACGTAGACCTTTGTGGGGTAGACAAATACGTGCTTTAATAAGGGACACAAAGAATTGCTTTCAGTGCTAACATATAGTCAATATTTACCGTTCCACTGTCATGTAGCATTTGAGAAACGGGTACCTTTCGTGATTGTTAAAAATTTGAAAAGTTGTGTTTTTACAAACTTTACTGAATTAAGTTACAAAATACGAGTATACTAACTTCAATCAACTTCAACTACTAATCATAATTTTATAATAGGTAAGTATGGTTTATGGTTACAGTGTTACAGTTATTTTTTTTAAATACAGTTACAGTGAAATTCGGTACGCAGTGACCAGAAAATGTTATCCATACTCCATAGAATTTTTAGAGAAAGGCTTGCGTTTTATAATTTATTTCAGTGTAATTTGTAAAAGAGTTGACAAAACAAAGCTTAAATTATAAACTCTCCTAATTATATTGCAGATATATCAAAGCTATATTTCCAATATACTCTGAAACTTGTAGCGTATGTAGTGGCTTCGTGGATTGTCTAACATAGTCTAAAAAATTTAAACACGTATTTGAAGAAGATAGGAATTATAAAAGTTCATGTCCATTTTAAAAGTGTAAAAAATATTCATTATAGTGAAATTCTATAATATTTCTCGTCAGATGCTTCTTACGATCAATTGTATGTTATCAGGTATTTTATGAAACGATTTAAAATTTTAATTTATTTTTATCATTTGCTTCAATTAATTTTATAAACTATTCAAAGTTTTAGAAGTATTTTCCAAATGTAAGCACCGCGCCGGTAGGTGATATACCTAAACACCAAGATAACATATATATTTAAGGATTCTTCGGTCAGGGTTTTGGACCTGGAAAAGTCTCCTGTAGATCTCTGGTATCTTAGTACTCAGGCACAGTATGCCTGAGAGTTATAGATAAGGACATACAGAGTTACAGATTTTATTTTCACCTTTTTTTCACAAATAACTTTCAAAACGAATGTAAATAAAAAATCCTAATGAATTTTTTTTATTGTCAATCGAGTAACAAAACTCATAGTGTAGTAACAATTTGGCTTTTGGCTATTTTAGGAAATAATAAATACTAAACACAAGAAGACGAACCGATACCTAACATACCACATAGGTAGGTATTATGTTGCAAGTCCAGCAAAGCCAATAAATAATGTAATGTATTTAAACCAATTAATATGTTCTTTTCATTTTTATTCAAATACATCATCATCATTCTCAGCCTATCGCATTTTAAAAATTTATACTAGTGAAATTTGGTACCTTGCTTGCTTTGAATTATGCTTTTACTACTTTTATATACCATACCACTTACATAAGCAGATAATCTAAAATGTAACAATTATAAATGGTAATGTTACTACAATTATAAATTCGAAAGTTTCTATGAGTGGATTTTGTTACCAAAATCATGTATGAACAGATCTAGATAAAATTTAATACAGAGGTAGATTTAAATCTAGATAAAATTGACCAAACAATATATATTATCGAGAACGAAGCCGCGGGCAAAAACTAGTACTTAAATTTACTATTCTTAATTAAAAAGTGGTTACCAAAAACCTACTAAGTAACAAAAACTTCGTTACAAGTGTTTAACTTTTGCGATAAAAAACTAGTGATTGCCTCAACTTGGGTCATTTTTTATCCAGGCAATCTTTTTTTCTGTAATAACAAAATAAACTCTACAATTTGACGAAGGTTTGATCACTTTAACATATTAACCAAGTAAGTATGTGAATTTCGCAATAAAAAAATTACTTCCCCCACTCCTGGGGTCATACGGAATCCAGGCAATCATGGCGCTTATTCTTTACCAACGTGAATACCATAATTTCTGATGGTTTTCTTAAATATAACAAATACCCTGGAAATTTTGGGGCCCAGTCTTGGTCCATACGTCACACATAATACATACATACATGAAATTCAGATAACACCACCCTCAATGCGTTGTGGTTTCATGTACTAAGGCTCCATAAATAGCAACGAGCTTCATTTCAGGCTGCGTAGCGTAGCACCTACGAACGCTACGAGCGCTCTACGAAGGGCAACGCTACGTTTTCTAACTGTGCTGAAAAACTGATACCTCATTAAACTTTTCTAGCAAGGTTAAAATTGTATACAACAAATATTTAAAAAAAATTGGAAATCTATTCTTCTGATTGTTTTTAAAATTTTATATTATGTGGAATAACCGGCTATAATCGTACAAATGTTTTATAAAACTAACTATTATTTTTTGTAATTATTCACATGTTTTCGCTTAACCCTTCCTTTGTTCTATGTAAAGGTTATCTGGATGACCTGATTTCAGTGAAGTACTTATCATCAGACTGAATTTAATAATATTATAGTTATCTCTTTAAGTACATTTCTATATAGTTAAAATGAATCTCAGAATAAAAAAATGATAAAGTATAATCAGTATCTCTGTTTATCACCAGTCTGATATTCAGATATAAATTTTTCACGAATATTGAGACCGACGTTAAAATGTGAAGTCTCTGACAACTCCCAAAAGTAAATTTTGCAAACGATTAGTTTTATCATAAGTTATGACAGATCATACAAATATAAAAAAAAATCCTTGCATTTCTAATGTACGCGAGTGTTCGTATGTTTTATATTTTATACAATTACCAAATAAAAATGTTTTAGAATAAATACGCACTATAGGGCATGAAATGTCTACGTGTTCTATATACCTACGAGTATAATATGCCCTGTACTAATTATTGTCAAGATGAGCCTCTTATTAAAAACTCAAAAGATTATACATATTTCCGATATTAAGTACTGGACTCGATTGAAAATTTAAAGATCTACAGAGAATATAATAACGTTTCACGATGTTTAACTTAGTATGATCCATAATAACCATTAAGCCAAAAACAGGAAAAAATGATTTTTTTTTTGTAAACGGGATTTGATCCACTGTGTACCAGAAGGGGTACGCGTTAAATCACCTAGTGGTACATAGTGGACTTAGGCGAATTCAGAGCCACACTAAGGACAAAATGAAAAGAAAGTTGAGGATAATCACTCTTTCTATTAGAAATAAGTAACTAAAACCTTTTCTCTACGTAACAAAACAAAAAAAGATTTTTTGTTTTAATTTAGTATACCATATGTATCTAGACTGCTTATCATGATTGTGTCTATGATTGACTCAAACTCAAAGTCTCTTTATTTCATAAAAAAATAATTGATTGAAATCGTCTTTTATGTAGACTCTAAAGTCATAGATCAAAACACACAAAAGCAACAATCTATGTTTTGTCAAATAGTAAGCAAATAAATGTAAAAAAAATCAAACCCACACAAAATCTATGATATGCCTGTGCCGATCTACAACCGCCCGTTTCCAAGGGGTTGAGCCTTATAAGAAGGAAGCGCAAAAAAACTCATAGCCACTCTTTTGCAATTCACAGATAGATACAATGGCATTATTAAATATACGACAACATTGTTTTGATGTGTGCCAGTATGTCCGTTATTAACGACTAAAAGGTAAAAAGACAATGAAGAGAAAACAAGATTAAGAAAAAAAACGAATAAAAGAGAAAATTAAGTGAAACAAAAAAAAAATAGAAAAAATAATAATAAACACACTAGCGTGGGGCTAGTGTGTGGCACATTCTTACTTAAGAAAATAAATAAAACAAATAAATAGCCTGCGCTAATTAATCCCAATCATTTTTGTCTTCTATGTAACCCACAATTAAGCAGTAGGCCCTCTGGCACAAGCCACGTTTTATTGCGGATTTAAATTTGAATTTGAAACTTGAAAATTCTTGAATATTATTTGAGATTTTATCATAAAATCGGACACATTGACCTCGAAAACACTTGCTTATCGTTTGGAGCCTAGAGGCGGGTACTACAAGTTTATTTATATTTCTGGTATTTATAGAATGTACATCACTTTATTTTAAAAAGCTATCTTTGTTTTTATGAACATATATTACATTTTCATAAATATATT